TTAGTAAAGGATTAGTCATGTGTCAACCTCTGGGGTCCAGTGAGACATTCCTTGCCTAAATGCATATGGTTATGATCGAACATTCGCATTTCTTCTTAATGCCAGTATCGTTATCATGACTTGTATCTCTATATATTAACAAGATATAAAAACTGTTATAAGAATATGTGAAATTTGTTTTCTCTCGTGATATTAGTTTTAACTAATTTTGGGGCAAGATTAGTTTTATGAGAAAACTCTCAGTTTCTCTTCTATATTTTTTATCCTCTTTTATATACAAAATGTTGTAAAACCGGCGATATTGAATATATATGTAAGTATAAACTAAATGCTTTATCAAAAAAAAACAAAAGTAAGTTCATATATAATATTATCAATGGCCGTCATATTGACTTCGTCTTCTAAAACTAATTCTCAATGCCCTCGTGGGGAGCGTGCGTTGATTGGTTTTCCTTCCATATAAATTTCATTTGGGTCGGTCTCACCTACTATTAATTTTTTGATTAAATACTTTAATGATAACGTTCTTTGCATATTTGCTACATGTATATTGATTCTCACTAATTTATATAGTGTATGCGTCTTTCTTTGTATAAAGTCAAGAAAGAAGAAATGGTTTCTTGACACTTTGGCTTTTTAGATTTTTTAAAACACACATATATTTGGCTTCATCACTACCACAAACTTTTAAAATATTATGGCATTTTCCTTTCAATATAGCATGAAATGTCAATAGTGGTTTATAATGCATATCTAATAGAATAAAAAGTCTTGATAACACAAACAAAATAACCGAAATACATAATCGAAAAATGGAATCACTAAGTACAAAAAATTACTGTACATGTTAAATCACATAATTGCAAAATTCCTTTTTAATTTATGATTAATTTAACAATATATCAATAAGTTGCGTTACTATTAAAATCGGCAACAGCTGGTAAAGAAGAGATTAATGTCAGAAGATTCAGAACCAATAAATCCTTTTTTTGGTAAGTACTTTGCAAAATCTTTTTAGTCTAGAAACTAAAATCTTTGTCTGGACAGCAGCACGTGCGATTTTCCACTAGAATCAATCATTGTTTGTATAATGACACGTGTGGAAGATCTAATCACTGCCGTCCAGTTGCCATTGGAAACAGCAAAAAGCCGGCTTTAGAATAAGTCGAGTCCTTAAGGTATTTCCCGTGAAGAGTACTACTTCCTCCAAATTTATTTAATTTTCCTTTTAAGATTATGCCCACAGATTAAGAAAATATTAATTGTATTAATTTTTCAATATAAAAACATCATTAATTATCTATTTAAACACAATTCAACCAATAATAAAACAAATTACATAATAAAATTAATTATAAAAAATAAAAAACTAATAAATGTTGTATTGAAAACTGAAAACGACGACTAATTTAAAACAAACAAAATTCTCTAAAACGACAATTAATAAAATTGGAGAGAGTAATGAATAGTGAATATTGAACGCGAATAGGCGATCGGACGAATTTACCTTAAATGGAAGCATATATGTGATTCTTCCTGTAATGTCTACAGACGGTTTTTAATATTTTTAATATAGTGTTTTTAATATTTTTTATTTACAATCTATGATTCATGATAAATATTCTTATATGACTGTTATTTTGGTATCATAATAAGTTTCATTGTGTATTTTTAATGTAGATATGAAAACATAATTTATTTTATCTATTATTTTAAGTTGTTGATCGACGATACAAATTTATAAGTGTCTAGGGACGTAGTAAAGCCCCAACACGGTCACGTGTCCTACTATTTTTAATTTTTTCTCAAATAATTTAAATAAATTTAGTTAAGATATTTTTTAATTTAGTAATAAAAAAAAGAAAAAGTTATCTCTAACTAAATTTTTATTTTTCTATTTACAAAATTATATTTCCAATTAATTTTTTTTCTAGATCCACCCCCTTAATGAAAACTGAAAACATCTAATAAAAATGTAACATTTTATGTAATTAGTTTGAAATTTCTAGAAAAACACTTATGATTAAAGGAGGATAGTATTCCTTTATCATGTTTAATAGAAAATGATCCACGCTTATAAATGTGTTTTTTTTTTTTGGTAAAACGCTTATAAATGTGTTCACAATGCATTAGTTAATATTTTTGTTGTTGTTGGTTTTATGCATGAGATTAGTTAATTTATCTAACATAGTTCTTTCCTCACAAAAGAAACTTTTACCTCCTTACTTATCAATACTCATACAGTATATGAAACCGTCACAAATAATAACATGTGTTATCATGGTATCATTACATAATAAAAAATAACGTAACGTGTATATAATGTAGCATCATATTTGTCTACCATTCTTTTTTATGTAAGAGGAACTAATTATCTCCGAAGAACGAACATTTAAATTTTGCTTTATTGTTGTTGCATATGCACAGGGCCGGCCCTGAGCTAAAGTAGGTGAAGCACTTGCTTCAGGGCGGCAAGAAATAAATAAAAGTTTAGGGTGCCAATTTCTGAAAGTTTGTTATAGTATAGTGGTAAGACATTAATTTAAATATAGTGGCACCCAATATCGAGTATAAGTAAAGATATATTTTGTATTTTTTTTAATAATGGGCTAAGATTTTTGTTTTTTTGCATTAGGTAGTAAAATCCATTGGGCTGACCCTGCATATGCATATTTAAACTCGGTCCCTTATATCCCGAACTACATATGTACAAGCTATAATGACAATTACATACAGTAAAAATCGCAAATCGAAAGTAGAACTGCAATAAATTATAGATCCCATAATATTCATCAAAAAAAAAAAAAAAATTAGGGTTTTAGGATGTTTTGGACAACCTCGTCGTGCAGGGTGGTCTGGGCCCTTATCCTATCTAGATGTTACGTGTCAGAAGATGATTGATTTGCGTAGTAGCTGGTCAAGCTCACTAATTGGATCAGCAAAGACAATTTCTAAAGTTCTTTTAATTACGGTTTAGTTCTCTTAAATCGATATTTTATTAAACACTGAATTTATATTGCTAATCTCGAACTTCCCACCAAACAGATATATCCCCTCCATGCCTAAATTACAGAATTATCCTCGTCAGTCATCAGTCTCTCTGTACGAGGGATGTGTGCCACGTGGAAATTGGCATTATACTCTTTGCCTTTCTAGGTTAGAAAATGTTATTACTGCAAAGGATGAACAATTTTTTTTTCAAGCATGTTTTTAATTTTACAGTAAAAATTCTCTGAAATCAAAAATCTAAATTTACAATCTTTATTAATCCGTCCTTAAAAAAATCTGAAAATTTTGATTCATTTATGTTGGATCAAATATAGATATACTACTAATTTCTTGCAGACATTAAAAAAAGAAGAGATATACTACTAATTTCTTAGTAAAAGCAACTAAAATCAAATAATTTTTTTCTCAAAGTTCAAAGCCTCAAACCAAGGACGGAAAATATAAAAAAGATAACTCAAATAAAGGAAAGCTCATATAATTTTTTCATAAACCAGGATTCAATTATATTGTTATTTTTAATCGGCAAAAAGAACCTATAAAAAATGGCACCATAGATTTTAATCACATAAGCAGACCATTCAATTAAATATCATTTGATTATGTGATATTCAAATTCAACTAATATAATATGCCATCGTTATCGTATATACATCACCATATTTTTCAAAACAAGTGACACATTCTTGAGTTTGTTATACATTTGCATATTATAAATACTATTACTGAAAAATAAAAATAAAAATATTACTTTCTGTTGTACTCGACTATAAAAAAAAAACACAAAATTAGGGGTAATTTTGGAAATTCAACAATAGTGACAGGATATATATAAGCTCTCCATGTCGTTATCTTTTTAAAAATCAAAACATACCAACAGAAAATCAAAATCCGAAGCTAAAAACAGATAACACAATCAGATAACTGAAAGAAAATTAAAATACATATATATATATATACACACATATTAAATCTGTTGCAGAGAAGTTATGGCGTGTGATGAAGATATGAAAATGGCGTCTTTCCTCAGAGAAGAAGAAGAACAGCACTACTCGTTATCTCGACTCTCCGTCTGTTCCAACTACGACGGCGATGAAGCCGACGGCGAACCGTCTGATTCCGAGGATAAAATTATCGGCGGAGGAGAGAAATCGATGGAGCATCTAGAATTTTCAGATTCCGATGATAAAGGATCAACAGGATGTCAATCGCTTCCGGCGACACCTCCGAGACGGAGAAGACGGCGAGGTACGTCGGTGAATTCTCCGGTTTCCGGCGATAAAGCTTACGCGAGCGAGAACGAAGCGCAAAAGGCGAAACAGGGGAATAACAATCAGAGGAGGAGGATGAAATTGCGACCGGAGTATCCACCGTGGGTCGACAGTATGCGGAGGAGCTACGGCGAAGAACAGAGCGGTTACGGCGGAGGAGTGGTGGTGGTGACGAGGCCGATTGGAGGAGGAAGGCCGTTGTGTATGGATTTAGGAGAAGTCAAAGCTTGTAAAGATTTAGGATTTGAGCTTGAACCGGGTCGGGTCTCTTATTCCGGGTCAACGATGGATACTAGTAGTGGCGGCAATTCTCCCATTTCTTCTAACCACCGTATCTCCAGTCCCGGTTAGTCCCAAAAAAATCCAAACTTTCTTTCTTTACTTCTACTATAAAACAAAACCACATTGTTAAAATTTCATTTTTTTAACTAAAGATTTTGCATTGTTAAATTTTGATTTAGTTTGTTATTTTGTTTTTGTTTTTTTTAGGGGATGATCCAAAAGAAGTGAAAGCGAGGCTGAAGGCGTGGGCTCATGCTGTGGCTTTTGTGTCTACTACTCATCATCATCAACCTCCTAATTCTTTATGATCCTTGTATAAATTTTTCATCTCAGTATTCTACTTCACAAACAAGAAAAAAAAAACTTGCATGCATTTTCGAGTTGCGTTTTGAATGATTCTTTTATGGGGTTTTTGGATTTTTCGTCATTTTTTTACAAATTGTTTTCTTTGTGTGTTGACGATGAGTATTGGCAATTGATAAGCCAAAAATATATAGTTAGATATATAAACAATGTAACTATTAAAGTTTGTTGATTGATTCCTCCAGCATTACTGTAATATTTAGCATGTTTACATTAATACAAGATATCAAGAATTTATTCTAAATTAACTCAATTGTGTACCAAAACAAGAATCGTTTTAACTCCTACCATGGAGATAAAAAGAATCGCTAAATATAGTTTGTGTTGTGTGAGAATCGCTATGAAGAAACGGAACTTGTAGCGACCGCTGGATCTTGTGGCTCATCATCGAATTGATACTCGTTGTAAACTTGGAGCAAGAGATCACGGCAACGAACGGTGGCTCCAAGCTTGATACAAGCCAAGAATGCGCCTGATAGTTTACGGTGAAGGCTATAAGCTTCGTCAGGCGGTGGTGTGAGTCTATGCTTCAACATGGTTGCTCCTAAATTGGATACGCTAGAAGTGATGTTGTTGGTTCGAAAAGCGTAGCCACCCGGTTCTGCAAAAGGTAGACCGACGATAAAACCGGCTTGGACATGAGCGTCAAGCATTACGTCTGATTCATCTCCGGTTAAGAATCCGAGTCTCCTCGACATTTCAATCACTCCTTTGCTGTCTTTATCCGCACATGCCATCACCTGACAAAAAAAAGGGTCACATGAATTGTTCTCAATTTTCTAACTCTTTACATGTGTGTGAAAAGTTAGAATCGATAAGATGGTTTTTTTTACCATTCGGAGATAGTCATCGACGAATTTCTTGGGGTAGTCACGGGCTGCTCCAAAATCGATAAGATTGATTGTTTTTGTGGATTCATCGTATAAGAAGTTACCCCAGTTTGGATCCGTTTGCATGAAACGGAAGACAAAGAGTTCTTTCAATGTGAGTTCGAGCATCTTCCTCCCAACATAATCTCGTGTTTTCTGATCTAACAATGCCACTTTATCGATGGGGATCCCTGTAAGAATTTGTTTAAAAGAACGGATCAGTTCACCATAACATTATATGTACAGGAACAGAGTAAGTTACCAGAAATAAGTGGAAATTGCAAGTTACCAGAAATAAGTTCTGTGGTTAGAACTTTTTTGCTTGAAACTTCATCTACCACACGCGGAACGTAAAACCCTGGAGTGTCTGAAAGCAACTCACGAAAGTGCTTTTGACTGACTGCTTCAATTTCATAGTCACACTCCCGAGCTAACTCTTCTTTGGCAACCTGCATAAAACTTCGTCATGAATCTGAAAACACGGATAAACAGATCGTTTGTAATGAATATTGTCCAATTTTCTTCTAAGTTTCCAATTATCTTAATCAGATTGTTCTGTATTTGCTTAGTTAAGTTTGGATAAGATAACAATACCTTAACAGCTCTGTCTAGAAAGAGTCCCTTTGGAATTAGATTTGTGTAATTTAATAAGCGTCTGACATTTTCGATATCACTTTCGATGCTGTTAGCAACGCCAGGGTACTGTATCTTCATGGCGACTTCTAATCCATCTTTAGTAACAGCTCGGTGCACCTAAAACATCAAGAAAAGAAGAAGATTCAACACATTCACAAGGACGAAGCATCACACGCATTCTTCTTCAGTCAAGAATACATACGCAGAAAACTAAGTTAGTACCTGACCAATACTCGCTGCTGCTAGCGGTTCATAATCAAAACTAGCCAGCTTCGATTGCCAATTTGAACCTAATTCAGCATCCAAAACTGGATTAAGTTGGCTCCTTGGCATCACATCTGCGCCTTGACGCACATATTCCAGAGCATTCAAGATCTAAAAAAGAAGCTACTTTACGTCAAACATGATATCAAAGTGATCAGATCACACACAGGCATACGTAACCTGATCTAAGCTGGTAAGAGTAAACAGAAAGAAATCAAAACTTTTGGGAAGAGGAAGATTGGTATTTACCGGAGCAGGAACAAGACTCTCGTCCTGTATACTCAACATTTGCCCAACTTTAAGTGCAGCTCCACGCATTTCACACAGCCCAAGAGCCAATCTCTCTGCATTCTCCTTGGACAGTATTGACGAGAGCGCAGGTTGATTGTCTTGTGTGGTTGGTGTCCCATTTACTAACCTATAGGTTGATTCTTTAACGGCTCCCCAAGCAAGACCAGCTCCAAGATTGAAAAACCTTCACATGTCACACAAAATCTCAATTTTTCAGAAACACAAACTTGTTAATGCTTCTTCATAGTTTCTATGTATTCTCAGTAGTCAAACAGGTGATTTGATGATTCCAATAGGAGAAAAAAAAACGGATTTTACCCAAAAGCTCTTGCAATAGGAGTTGATGGAACCTTCCGTTCTCTAGGCCTCCGTCTCTTCACCGGAACTACCTCCGCCGGAGATGATGCTACCGCACCTGATCCGGCGGTCCTAACTCCAATACTCTCAGTGTCTTCATCTTCTGAAACCTTAGTCTCGCCTACTCTAATTGAACTCTTAACTTCATCGCTAAATTCGGTTCTAAGGATTATTTCATCAACAATTTTCGATTCAACACCATGCCTTGCGACGGAGCTAGGTTTCGCACTAGCAGATCCAATCTCAGGCGCAACAGATGAATCAGCGACGTTGCTCAAGCCATCTTTATTGTCTCCATCGTCGAAGTATACGATGGTTGGTTCCTTGGACCGAGGACGGCTCGAGAGCTCGCGAAGCTTCCCGGAGGTGAGGCCGACCAAGTCGGTGGCGGCAACCAAAGCCTTTTTCCCCGAAGACGTGATTAAGCCTTCGAGATCTCCGTATCTCGCTCTCTGTAACTCCGGAGACTGATTACAGATCTCCTTGGCCACAAGCGATAGGCCATTCACGAGCCTGCCTAGATTCTTCCACGAACTCATCACCGATCAATGACGGCGCGTGAAAAGTACTCTGATCGTGGATTTGACTTTACTCTTTCTCTTGGTTTTCCATTTTATTTGGTTGGATTTTTCCTTTCTCAGCATTTGGTTTGAATCATTGGAGATTTTGACGAGAAAATTTATAAATGTGTGTTCCTGCGTTAGAACACGAAGGTCGGAGACGAAGAACCGAGGTTTACGTGGGGAGACGAGAACCAGAAACTCGTCTTCGAAGATTCTAGTTTCGGCCCAATTAGTCCTTTATTCATTGTCACCATTAATGGCCCATTGAGCCATACGAGAGCCCGAGGATAGCATATAATGCAGTGTATCAACTAATTAGTCCTTTTTTTTTGCTGCTCAACCACAAATTTCCATTCAACTAACCCATAATAATCATGTAATCATGTTTATCAACCTAACATATTGAGATATCCAATTTGGCACAAAGGAGTTAAGCTTAGAAACATAATTTATACATGAAAAAGATTTTGTTTTGTTTTGTATTATTACATTTATCTATCTTGATCTAATAAAGTGTCCGTTTTCGTACTTATAGCTCCTCATTTTTGTTCAACCTATATATGAGTTTTTTTCTGATACAACAAAATTATGCTCCATTGATTTCATTCTAAAGATATTTCAAAGTTACTAAACAAAAAAAAAACTCAAATTTACGTTGAATTATATATATATATATATATATATATATATTTTAGGAGAGCGCAGAAACTAAACCCAAATCTTAATATATATACATATAACGTTATGTACCACATTATATGAAAAAAAATCAATTTTCATTACGTTATGTGCTTGCATCGAAAAGAAAATACAATCACACATTAAAGCATATCATAAAAGGCAAAAGATAAAATGTTGACTATAATAATTTATTAAAATTTAGACTTTTGTGAAAAACGTTACTCTTTTGGTAAGAAGCAAAAGAGAAGTTTGAATGGCTGAATTGACACCATTTTTGTTTGGTATAAATTGGCACCTTTTATCTTTTAGATGCAACAGAAAAAGAAAAATCGTCAATTAGTCCAAACGATGAATCGTTTCTCATGTTTTTTGTTTGTTATTGTATTATGTGTAGGATTGGGTAATGCAAAATTATGGGAGAAAAACTCCGTACATTTTCGAAACTCGCTTCATCCAGGAAACATTCTCACGATTAGATGTCAGTTGAATAAGGACGATCTAGGCTTCCATGATTTGAAACCTGGAGAAACCTATGATTTTAGTTTTCGTGATAGTCTTTTCAAGACCAAGGTTGATTGCGCATTACAGCAGGGAGGACCCAATCAAAAGTTTCATGCAAATTTTAGGGCATATAAAGGTGGTGGTCTCATAGTTCATTATGGTAAAAAGAATTTTTGGGATGCTAGAGAAGATGGAATTTACTTTACACATGGTAAAGAAGCGCCTAAGTTAGAGTATAAGTGGATTCCATTTTAACTTTAGTTTCTCATTTTTGTATTTGCAATGGATATTTGTATTAAATATATTTCTTCTAAAATTAATAAATTTTCTTAGTCTTTGTGCTTTCAGTCAAAACATCCAATATTAAAAACCAGATGAAGTAAATGATAATTTGAACAACAATAAAATTACATAATTTCTGAAATTTCTTAGTCTTCATCATCTTACCTTAAACATCTTTTGAATTTAAATAGGGGAAATTTATTTTTGACCAAAAAACTGTTGTGTCGGTCATTAAAAACTCTATAATTGACTGGTTTACACTAACAGTAGAAAACCAACAATAATTGAATATGCTAGCTAAGTTGTAGTATGGTAGCATTGATTATTTGAAGTTTTAAACTTATACTCCGAGTACAAATGCATCTCCACTCACAAAGTAACATGAGAAAGTACTTATATAATACAAAAATATAAAAAAATATAATCAAGATCCAAAAACTACATGAACGTAATTTTAAAGAAAATATAATTTCCTTAACCCATTCGTTTTGTTTTCTTCTCAAAAGTAAATAGGAATTTTATTTTAACTTTTACTTTTTTAAAAATATCAAGTTACTCTCTCCATTTTAAAATATAAGTTGTTCTAGAGGGTTTTTTTTTGTTTCAAAATATAAGTTGTTTTCACATGTAACTTTTACCTTTATTAAATACTGTGTGACCAATTATATTTTGTATTTTATTTATGATTGGCTGAATTATTTTTAATTTATATAATAAATGATATTTTTGTGCCTTTAGCTAAAATAACTTTGATTATGAAATGGAGGGAGTATTTCTTATTACATATAAATCTTATGAAGAAATACTGTTATTACATATTCAATTCGAATATAAAGTTGAACAAGCCACTCAGACTTGTCAGGATAGTAGGCAATATATTTTTCGGACTGAATTACAAATATGCCACAGTTGGCATCTACCTACAGGTCTTCATCATTGGTATATATAATATTAATATGTAAACAAAAACTAATATCAGTTAAGAATATAACTAGTCTTGAGATCTTCAAAAACATCTGAGAGCTTTGACAAACAAGACGAAGAGAAAATGTCCATTAGAGCTCAAGAACATCAAACCCTTGAAGGTATATTTACTCAATCTTTTTTTTTCGAGTTGTAAGTAATATGTTTTTTTCGAAATCCGTTTTTAACATCGTTCGTTAAACTTTTCTCCTCTCTTTAAGATCCTGAGATCCAAATTTATAATTTGAATATGACCCTCCTGCTTTTTGTTCTATTTCTTGAAAAGTTTTTGCTCCTTCAATAAGATCGGCTTTGTTTCTTATTGATCATATTATAAATTATGATGGTATATAGTTGTTTTGTTTTTCTTTGTTAAATGGTTGTATAGATTTTTGTTTATGTGAGATTTTTTTGTTGCTCTTTAATTTCCTCTTGAAGATCACTGGCACAAGTTCATTCAACTTCGTAATGAATTTGATGAAGATTATCAATCTAACACACAGAGCCGATAGGTTTCCCCAAAAGCTCATTTGGATCTAGAAATAAAGTTTGATGTCTTTTATTTAATAATGGAAAATAATATAGAGTCAATGACTGTTTAGTGAAAATTATTACTTTTAGTGGGTAAAGAGTTCAAGCACTTTTTGTGTAATGTTAATAGTGGAAGATTCAATATATCACAACAAAGAAAGAAGATTTATCATATGTTAATATACTTAATAATATGTTTTCTAATACCTATATAGTCACATAGAAAGAAAGAAAAAAAAATTAATTTACATAAAAAATATTAGACCGGAAATATATGAATATAAACATCACAAAACCATCGTCAACACTTTGAAATGTATAAAACACAGCACAAAATGGCAAAAAATGGAAATATTACGATTGTAATTAGCTTTCAGAATTATAGAGAATAGAGTATTGTGAAATACGACATTTTTGCTTATCTAACTATATTTTTGCAACCATACATTTTAAAATTTATTTATATATAACTAAATACTAGTGATTATATCGATATATTTATAATTAATTAAATACGACAATGGTGATACTCTTCGCCTTGTGTATATAATAAATTTATGCTCTCTTTATAGTTTTAATATATTATAAACGAATTACATTATTACTGATTTAAAACTTCAAACATTATTCTAAATTTCTGTTATTTAGAACTATATTAAATCGATGTTTTGTTTTTAAAAATATTAATATTGGAGGGAAGAAAAAAGCTTAATATGGGCCCATTTTAACTATAAGAAAAATAAGAGGCCCAAATAAAAGCCTATAGTTCATAGCAAGCCTGCTTTTAGACTCTCTCTCAGATCTAGAAACAATGCAGTCTTCTCCAATCGTGTTAGACTTCTCCTCCGCCTTTCGCCACCCACGCGCCGCCGCGTTGGCCACTACCTCCGGCGTAGCGAATTCCCACTCTCCGGCGAGAAAATCTCACTCTAATAACGTAACGCCATCTTTATTTTCGCCTTCCTCGACACTAGAGCTAATTTCTTCTTCCCGTGGATGTTTCACCTGCCGATTTGGCGACAATTCTCCGCGGTTCAATTCGAGCGGCGATGATTATTGTAGCGAGGATGAAAATGAAATCGATGAAGATGATTATTTGCTTGATTGCTTGACAGATGGGAAGACGGATGATTTGCTAGGCGACGATGGTGTTCTCATCGAGGTGAAGAAACTCGAGAAGAGCTCGCGGCGAATCCGTTCGAAGATTGGAATGGAAGCGAGCCTCGATTCCGTTTGGAGCGTATTGACTGATTACGAGAAGTTATCGGATTTCATCCCAGGCCTCGTTGTTAGCGAATTGGTCGAGAAAGAAGGGAATCGTGCTCGTCTTTTCCAGGTTTTTGCTCTCAAACCAATTCTCTGTTTTATCAAATGTAAAATTATGTATCGATGCATCTGTTTAGGTTCAAATTCTGGTAGATTAGATAACTTTGTCTGTTGATCTTGTCCAAGTTGGTGCATTGGCTTGTTACTAGAGAGCTTGAAATTCGCCATGTTCTTGTATCTAGAGATTGAGTTCACTCTGCTGAAGAAAACACTCAGGTTTTGAAAATGGTGATTCATAGGTTGGTTTAAGTGGTGCGACTTACTATGGTTCTAATGGAGACGAGTCCATTACTGCTAAGCATTGGTTTGAATGCATTTCATATTGCTCTTAGTTGGTTTCAAATTTGGAAACTTTGATGCTAAATGTGAACATTCTGTACTATTGTACATACCATATTTGATAGTATGTTCGAATTTGGGTCATCGAGTGGTTTCTTTGTCATGATGGATAACACCAGTCTCATTCTCTGGTTTGTGTTTCTTTAAACAGATGGGACAACAGAACTTAGCACTGGGTCTTAAATTCAATGCCAAAGCTGTTCTAGATTGTTTCGAGAAGGAGCTTGAGATTCTCCCACATGGGAGGAGACGTGAAATCGACTTCAAGATGGTTGAAGGCGATTTCCAGTTGTTTGAAGGCAAATGGTCCATTGAGCAAGTAAATAATATATCAATATGAAATCCGTTTATAAGAACAACAACATTCATATACCTTTCCTCGGAGCTGTTTATTGATTTGTGATCATATTCTGTTTTTCTTTACACAGTTTGACAAAAGCATTCACGAGGAGGCTTTGGATTTTCAGTTTAAAGATTTTCCGACGACGCTTTCATACACGGTAGATGTAAAACCGAAGATGTGGCTACCGGTGCGGCTAGTTGAAGGAAGATTGTGCAAAGAGATAAAAACAAATCTTTTGAGTATTCGAGACGCAGCACAGAAGGTCATACAAGGTGTTATTCATGATCTTTGAGTTTTCTTCTCTTTGAGCCAAGGTTGAAGTAGTGTCCTACTTCTTTCTCTGCAGGTTAGATAGATACAATAATAAGCCTATATATTCTTTGTATTTTGGTGAATTTGAAAGCTTATGTACAATTGGCTTTACATACACGTTGTTGTCAAATTGTATATTCTTCTGATCTATATACCCTTTGAAATATCGAATATATAATACAAAGTTTTTTCGACATTTGTTCGGACCACAAATCAATTTCTTCACACTTATTTCCCATTAATAATGGTACCATGGAATCGATGTCAATTTCAGTTTAGGATGAGATAAGATGTCTCAGAAGGGATTAACTTTAATTAATGGGTGATTTGCTGAAGAAGCATAGGCATAGAGATGACGAGTATAGCAAGTAGCAAGCAACAAATGGCTCTGTTTTCTTGATACTTAAAAACAGAATGCTCTGTTTCGGAAACAGAGTATTCTAAATTCATACTCGAAAGAAGGTAAAATCTTCCCAATGCAGAGGAGGTTGAGAATGGATATTGAGGCGATACAAAGAACTATAAAGTAAGTTGTATGAGATATCCTTCATATATAATATAACAGTAGAACATCTTCATCTTTAAATGTACAAATACAATCATCACTGCTCGAGTCTTCTCCAGATTATAAACACTCTGGAATCAAGACTATCATACAGCTACAAAACAAGCAGCTTATCGCAGACGATGATGATGCAACAGAGAAGAAACAAAAAACGCCAGTGAAAGTAAATACAAACCAAAAAAAAGATGGAGAAACACCATAGACCCGTTATACAATCATCATTATCAGAAGTTGATTCTGCTCTTGAAGCTCTGACCAAACCGCCAATTCGAAGGAATAACGTTGAGAGCTGCTTTGATTCTTCCATTGCTGAGTTGAACTTTGAAAGAGAGCGATTGACCATTAAGGTAAGTATTACTCTGCCAATTAGCTCCCCAGTTTCTTGACATTGTCTCCCATTTGTTGCTCTTAGAGCCTTTGATCCAAACTTTAGAGATCTCACCAGCTCCTCCAACGTTTGAGATGAGGACTAGCTCGAAATAGTTTCTACCATTCATTGTAAATCTCATCCCTCCGCTTCTTCTACATCCAACCCTATTAAGAAGAAGAAATACCCTTTAATTAAGCACACTCTTTTAATTAATGTGACATTCTTGATCTATATATATGATATGTAATATCATTTACCTTCTGTAGATGATTGGGACGATTCCAGCTTTGTACTTAGCGATGGTGAGAAAAGCAGGCTGAGCCATGTCGAAGTGAGGTCTTGGTGGGTTACACCATCCTCCATTGTCGCTTGCCTGAGCAAAGTTTGGTGGACAAAAGTTTGTGGCAGTGATTGTGATTGATCTGCCTCTAATACACCATTGTGGCACTTTGCTCGCGTCGCAGACGATCTGGTAACATCCACCACAAGACTTGCCGTCGTTGAACAGTGCCGTGCTTAATGCTGCGGTGTTTGTCTTGTAACCGTCCGTGTATAGGTTTCCATAACCACAAGCTCCTCCTAAAGAAGACAACAGAAAAGCAAATATCTGAGAAGGTTTCTTGAGGAAGAAGAAACTCTGTTTTTTTTTTTTGTGAAACTGAGCCGAGTAAATAAATGAAAATTCGTTAAAAAAATCATACTTTGAAGTGAAATATGTATGAAAAAATTGCATATCGTAATTGATATAAATTTATTTGTATTAAATGAAACTGAACCAAACGGAGAGATTTTTATTTTAGCTCGGTATGAGTTTCTCCAAATGTCAAGCACTAATTTGGAAACTTACCCATTGTACCAGAAGCATCACTTCCGCCATAGAAGGTCGCATGAGCTCGTAACCAACCTGCAGAAACCGAGCTGATCTTCGTGAAGAACATTATGGAGAAGATAGCTGCGACTGAAAGAGAGATGATCTTTGTCATTTCTTTATCAATTTCTTAGGTGTTTAATGAGCTTTGATTCTTTCTTTTAAGAAGAGAGGTTGATGATTATTGTGTTCGATGCATAAGACTTAGGCTTCAGCAGCTATTTATAGTAAACATCACAAAGCTTCTTTTAATTAAGATATATGTAAAAATTAATTGTGTATGACTTGGAATTAGCGGAAAACGTTGAAAATAATAATATGATTTGGTGATGATTGACCCAATGATTGATTATAAGAGTGCGAAAAATACGGAGTTTTCAGGCATATGATAATTTAATTCATCCTATAAGGCATGTGACTATAGGTAGTTGCTTTTGTTTCTTACATGTATTATTATAAACTTTGCTCTCTTTATTAAATTCTTTTTTTTTGTCAACCAAGTTTTATAATTTTTTGTTGATCTTTTTATATAGCAGAATGGTAATACGGCGGTTAGTATAAAACAAATATAAGAGGCAAGTGCAGGAAACTAATGGTTGAAAGTCGATTTTATATAGAATTAGATGATTACCCGTGCATTTGCACGAGATTTTTCTATGTGTTTTAAAAAAATATTTTTAAGATTTATTTGTAACTTTAACTAAACTCAATTCAAAATTTTATTTTTGAGGTTGTCAATAGTTGTTATTATTCTTTTAAAAGTAAATTTTTTATTAGTTTATTTGTTAGTTATTATTTTGTTTTCAAAGAAGCCAATCAAACACATATTATACTAAACAAATCTAGAGTTGATAATCCAACAAATACAACTAAGTATAAAATATCAACTTATGGTTATAAACTCAGGAGGCATATCCTATATATAAATAAATAGATAAAGTTATTTGAAGTGATTTTCCTATTTTAATTGGTAAAGTTTTTCACAAACTCTTCCGATATAAAAAAAATGAATATAATAGAGTTCTATAACTATGATATCCCAAATTGTATTAAACCCATGACCACTTTTCTTCACTAAGTTTTTAGTATGAAATCATTATAGATCTCACGTTGGAGATAGTCTTCTATGCCAAATCTTTCACTTGAATTTAATCGATAAATTTAATATTCGTTAACTAAAGTGAATTTAAAAACTATCAGCCCAAATTTTCTCAAAGTGACGTCTTATGGTTCCATAGTTCCATATGCTAAATCTTAAGAACATTTGCATGTTTGAAAAGATTATCGAGGTTTTGGTCACACGATTCCATCCTCTTGACATCTGTTTACTTTTTGGGCTGCTTTATGTAAAAATAGAAAACTTTGGTACAGAAAATTGGCATATAAGCCCAAGTCTACCACTTTAGGCAAAATACATATAGAAATTGAAAAAAAAAATTAAAAAAAATCCAAATCCTACAATTATGAAATTCGTCTGAAAGGACTAAAATACGAAAAAATAATTTAAAAATCCAAACTCTACAGTTATAGAATTTTTATTTTATTTAAATTTCTTTCCAAAATAGTTACTTACTTCCGTGATTTTAGTTGTATTATTTCAAAATTTTTAAATTAAATAGGATTTATCAGTCCCTTCATTGGTTACAAATTTTGGTTTTTACATATAAATTTGTGAAGTTTTATGCATGAGAGAGACGTATTGGTAAATTTTACAAGTACTTCCCAATAATTTGTTGCATGAGAGAAAGACGACTTTTTACAAAATAAAAATTCCTTAGTCATTAGTTATTACAACTAAAATATCTTCTTTCTCTAAATATGTTGTATTCACCTTCTTGGCTCCTTTTAAAGGGATATTATTTGGATTTTTAAGCATACAAATAAGTTTGATTACAACAGAACAAGTATTTGTCAAGATTTATAATCTGAAGGCAACACACAAACTTAAAATATTTGTAATCCAAATGCAGACTATAAACAAAGAGATGATAATTCGCCTTTAGTTTCATAACTTTATGCTGTTGACTTTCTGAAATTCATTAACCTTTTAAGAGATTATGCCCTTGATTATTTTGTTTTCTCAAATTACATTTGATTTTTTTGTTAGACCATCTTCATCAATAATTAATAAAATAAGAAGAAGTAATGGTTTATTTTTTCTCACTAAAATCGAAGCAGAAGAATTGTAACAAAAAAAAAATACAAGAAGATGAGAAGTTTACTGTTTTTGAAAGTCTTTTATAATGTATTTAATGGTTTAGGACTTTGATGTTTTCTAAACAAATTAAAAATCAATAAAATAAATTATAAATTATTTTATATTGTATTTAATGGTTTACGACTTTGGTGTTTTCTAAACAAATTAAAAATCAATAAAATAAATTATAAATTATTTTGTAAATCTGATGTGTCGAAATAATAGATGTTGATGTGTCAAGATTGTGAGACACAACCCAACTTTTATATAATAAACTAGATGAATACCTGCGTATACACGCGGGTTTTTTTTGCTATGCATTTTTTTAAATCTCACAACAAGTTGATGACTTTATTACTGTGTAAAAATCTATTATTTCTGTTATACATATTTAAAAACAGAGACATTTTTTTGTTTTTTATCTATTAAATTGTTCTAAAAATCTATAGTTTAACCTGAATGTACTGATGTATTTTAGATGATATCATGTTATTCTCACTTCTCTCTAGTCCTATGAGATTTTTTTAGCTCTCTCTTAACCACAATGATATAGATTTCTTTGTTTCACATCGTTAAAAGTTATAGTTGCAATATTAAAATATTACTCTAAATCCGCTTTGAAAACTCTTTTTGTATTTTGGATTTGTAATTTTCTTAAAAAAACTAATTAGACGATAACATTTGCCAATGAAATCACCAAAACACAATCCTAATCCAATCCTTCTAAACACTACAGACACACACACTCAAATAGATTCTTTAAACAACAACATTTTACTACTCATTCTTTCATCTTTTGTTCTACTTAGTTCCTACATGATTGGTGCCAAACTTTCAATAATCCTTCTTTTTTTGAACATGGTAAAATACATTTACCTCCGTTTAGTAGGTCATAAGCATTTCTATGGAATGTATTAAAATAATTAGTAGATTATTTATTTTAACCATTAATTAGCTAAACAAACTGTCATACGTATCCACAAACATTTACATAAACTTTATATTATAAAAAAATAAATAAATTTTTGGTAAATTATAATCAAAGAACTCTTAAACTATACAATAACACTGCTACTTATTGATCAGCTAGTATATCCTACACATAATCACAATTAGACTAATAAAATATAGACCCCCATTGGTGGTCTCCATGCAAAGGAAAATTGTATAGTGGCTGCTTAGCCTTCGCATGGATATTTTGATGTTTACTGAAATAAAGAAATCGAAAGCTTTTATAGGTCATCTATGATTCTCTGTTGAGTTAGTAATTGATATTGTATCTAATAGTCACTCTGATTTGCTTTGATTCCTCTTTTCCTTACTTCCTCAAACAGATAGACCTTTCTCAATATTCTCCTTTGCGATGGTGATGATCTATTCTTTCTCTGCAACGTCATCCATTCTGATTTTCGGACACTTGTTCTCCCCTCTTGTTTATGTGCTCTCTCTGCTTCTTTTTTTTCTTTATCATTAATCTCCTCCTCTCTCTCACTCTCTTACTCACGGCTTGTCCTCTCTTCTCTTATCTTCCTCTTTTCACGACTCTTTCACCTCTTTTTTTAATTTCTTTCTTATTTCTCATATTCTCTCTCTCGGCCTTTTATGACTGCTCCTATATTTTTCTTATTTTTGGTTCAGTAATCTAACTAAGATAACTTGTATATAAAGAGAGATACATTAGTTAATTTAAGAGAGATGAATCGCACTTTTTAGGAGAGTTATCTTAATAAATGTATGTTTATCACTAAATTCAATGATTTAAGTGATAAATTGATGCTTATTTACGAAGAAGTTTTTAAAAATTATTAAATAATAAAAATCTAATAATTTTTTAGAAGCTGATGTGTCAAAAGAATGTGTGCTTAGGTGTCAAGTTTGTGAGACACAACTCACTCTTTATATAATAGATATTTATCATATTTTAACAATTTTTTATATTTTTAAATAAATAAGATATCTAACTGTGTTATTCGATAGTATTGATGTAAAAATGTAGAAGGAGACGTTCCGTAATACAAATCCAGAGTTTGTTCAGCACTTCTTAGTTTTTGCAATATGCCAAAACACTTTCTGATCAAAATGCTGATAATCTAACAACTATGGCGATGGGTAATATGATCCATACTACACTTGATGTCAAACACAATTTAAATAATCACCATTCACGTCCTGTATCAACGAGCAAAAAAAAAAGAATTTATGAAATTGGACATATATTTGTGTGATAATATTTTAAATAGGCTATAGTTCAATCATCTTTTTGCAATTGTTTTTTTAGTACAACGTATATATAACGCGTCGTCTCGTCAAGAATTAGCTAGAATTATTACAGTATAGTCAAAGTATTAATTACAAATGATTACATATATATATACAAGTTGTCTTAACATTCGGTAATGAACGTAAAATCTGAATATTTAATGGGGAATTAGGATGAAAATTCAACGTACGATCGACATCAAATGATAAGTGCTCCTCCATTTACGCAAATTCCGTGGTACGTTGCAAGTTGCCCACTTACGCTGATATTTTATCAAATTTTCAGTACTCTGAAGCAAATTGTCATACAGTTTATAGTTATAAGATGATCATCATTAAATTATAGTTAAAACAACAAAGGATGCTTTTAGAGTTAAAAAGTAAAAAGATTTTTTTCTGTAATTCAAGAAGCACAGTCAATATGAAAATAGAAAGTTATAACATGTTAATTAACGAGATGTTTTTTTGCTTTTTTTTCAAAATTTCTTTGTTAATCCTCTATAAAGTTTTTTTTTTCTTATTTGTCATGTTCCACTACAAAGGTTAACTAACTTCTTTAAGTTGAATACTTGAATACGAATTGGTTGGCTAGATAGGTAATGTATATGCGATGAATATATAAAATGAGTACTTCAGACGTGGTACAATGCTGCTAAATACTTTTATGAAAACAGTTTTGAATTTTCTTCATCTACATTCCACCACCCATAGTATTATAAATATACTTCATTTGGATCTTCAACCTAACATACTTTTCTAAGATGGTCGAAGTCAAAACTTTAATATATATAAGTACGTAACATTATCAAATTAGGAATAATGTATATATATGATTCTATACCCTAATATTATGGCATATCTAATGGTACGTCCACGTACTTATCACATGGGTGATGCGCTGATTCCATTTGATAAAGTCACACATGGACCTACATCTCTCCATTTCAATAATAGATTTCATATATTTATATGAATCAAGTACATATTTGACCAATCAAACTATCAGGAATTAATTAATAGGGGGATAAGAAAATAAAAAAGTACCATGGTGCAGTACCTAGCTTAGGATAATCTATATATAAACCCAAGCAATAATTTTCCTTCTTTATATATAGATAGATAAAAATTTCCAATTTTGTAATGGCCCCTTAGGATTAACACCGCCACCTACCTAATTTATTATCTGCAAATTGTAAATTGATTTGGTTTTTAGAATTAATAAGTCGTTGATTTTGTTGTGGATAAATATTAATTTTTAGTTTAGACAAATATCTTCTTCTCTCTCGATTTCTCCTCGGCTTCACCTTCTTAAGGCATAAGCAGAGTCATGCTCTGTTTCATCATTCGCTTTTAAGAACCCCAACGTTTGTGACCTTTTGAATTGGGGTCTGAATGATCATGCTTATCATATGATCATTATCTTAGACCCCACCATTCTAAGAAAAGATCAAGAACGATCTTTAATGACTAGAAGTCATTCATGTGAATCTTTCTTGTAGACTTTATCCTTGCTATATCAGAATTTTAGGATAATCATCAAGAATTCTTCTTTGTTTTCGTATTTTCAACTTAATAGAAGAGTAGATCAAAAAACAACACACAAGACCGAATGAATTGTTCAGAGAGAATCAAAAAAATAAAATGAACTTTTCCGAACCCAAAACTTCCGAGAATTATGATTTTCTTATAAAAGTGCCTGTGCACAACTACAGAGCTATACGTATTCGAAGTTACGAGAGAAGCTAAAAACCATATTTTATTTTTGCTTTATGTTGCATTATTTATTTCTATAACATTTTCACGGCAAACAAGTTCCCGTTACCGAAATCTTTAACCGGAAACAACAACAACAACAAAGTAACATATATCTAACAGATACAAACTTTTCCTCTTTGATCTTAAACCGAAGCAACCGAAAGATCATCTGAACCGGTAATAACCTTAAACACATTCCTGCTTGAAGGCAAACCAGCCACTGGTTCATCTTCAATTCCACATTCATTTGTTCCTCTCCTAATCATGAAATAACCATCCTGCAAATTTCATATACATATGTCAACATTCACATTGAAAAATCCAAATTCTATAACTTTTTCTTAAGAAAATTAATTACAAATAACACTTACATCTCCCCAGCTTCTGTTCCATTGATTTGCCAACAACTACAAACAAACAAGAACGAAAAAAAATTCCGGTTTAACTTTAAATTTTTCAATCAAAGAACCTTGAATGTAACAAGTTCAACATTTACCCAATAATCTTCGCCTTCATCAGTAGTTCCCCAACCAATAAGTTTAACAGCATGACCTCCAATGTTAGAACCTGTTATGTGCTTATATACTCCAGATTTGTAATGAGCAAAATCCTAATCAAAACAAACCCATCATTAAATAATCCATCTTTCTTTAACTTAACCAAAAATGTTAAAGCTTTCTGCATAATTTTCTTTTGTTTACCTCATAAACAGTAAAAGAGACTTCAACAGGTCCATTCTTATAAACCTCTGCCATGATGTCTTGTGGATTAGATTTAACAGTGTATGTACTAACACTGTAATGTTTGGATTGACTCCATAACTGGTTTCCACTAACGCATTTCCGCATACATTTCGGTGTAGGATATGCTGGTTCACATCCAGGGTGAGAGCAACCGGTATCATCAAAGTATGGATCACACTAATCAACCATTACCAAAAAAGAAAACTTTAATCAAAACCAAATTCAAATTTGAGGAATTTTAGTGAGAAATTTGTTTTACCTCTTCAGTGACAACGCCGCTATAGGAAAAGTATTGCCAAGCAGCAATTGGGTAGCCACCGTCACAACCATCGCCACAACGGAATCCACAACAAGCTAAGAGATCATTTACTGATAAAGAAATGTTCTGAAAAGTGGAACAACAAACAAAGTATATTAGGCTATGGATTTATAAATCTTGAGCTGGTTTTTGGATATTGCTAATTAGTATTATTACCATTCCAAATTCGATACAGAATCTATCAGATAGTGATTCAACAGCACCAAATGCCCAGCAAGAACCACAATGTCCCTAAAAATCAAAACCACAAATGTCATCAAAACCGGTTTTTTTTGTTTTCTTTGATTAAACGTTACAAGAACCACAAAGATTGAAGCTTTACCTGATCTGTTAAGAGAGGCGTCAAAACAATCAGAAAAGGAACAAAACAAATCAAGAGTTAGTTAACAGATAAATGAAATGCAATTGACACACAAAAACTGCTTTAAGAGAAAGCTAAAACCAAACCTAAGATGTTTCCAATACTGGTGCATTGTGGCCAAGCGGTTCTAGCATCGAATTCTTTAGGTAGCTTCAAAGATCGATCATGGCTTACGATAGGAACACCTAAGAAGTGCTTCTTAGGAGTTGGTTTCACCCCGAGGAGACGCTTAAACTCTGCAACCTGCAACAACATAAAACGCAGACAAAAGTTTTGTAAGAACAAATGATGAAACTTTTGTTGGTCATAAGAGAATTTTTTAAAGATCTTACTGTTGCGTTGGAAAATCGATCATTTATAGCAGCTTTCCATCCAGCGTCTGGATTTTGGTTTACTTTCTTCACAATCTCTTCCTGTGAACCAAATTTAAAAATCTCGATTAGGGAGAATCAGAAGAACAGAACAAATAACGAATTTTAAATTAGATTAAAGAATTCAAACCTGAAGTATCTTCGAGTTCAGTTTCTGTTTGGATAGATTTTCTGCTTTAACACCCTGATTCAGACAAAAAACCCAGATTCTTTAGCCGACAAAGTTTGGATCTTTCTTCTTTCTCGTGTTTATCAGAAGTTATCGAAATTAGGTGAATTTTGCTCACCAGAAGATTAGAACCAAGTCAAACACAGGAGCAATAGATAAAACAAAATTGATCAGCTGAACCAAACATAGCAACATAATTTTCGATCTTCTTTCTTACAGTTGGAGAAAAAACAAATAACAGAGATTATAAAAGCTACCTGCAAGTCGAAAGACGAGGAGACAAGCCCTAAGAGTAAGAAAACAGAGACCAAACAGAGTTTGGTGGTGGTGGTAGAATCAGCCATGGGAATCTCTCTTTTTCACTTTCAAACTCTTCTCGATGAATCCCAGAAAATCAAAAGATCTCTTTGTTGAAGTAACCTCACTAATGGGAGAATCTCGTTTATAATATAGAGAGAGAGTGGCTTATCTACTGCACAATGACAGAGACACTTCTTGGGAAACTGAATGAGCCAATGACTTTTTTAAAGAGCCAAGAGAGTTGGGGAAATGAGATCTTAGCCGTTGATTGGTTCTCATCTACGAAAAACTAGGCGGTTCAAGCTATACATGATCGCCACGTTGAACCATTACACGTCGTCCGATTAGAGTTAGACCCTTCATTACGAAATCGCCATAACCACTAAAGGTAAAATATCAGTTTGTTATCTATTTTGAATTTATGCGGAAATTTCAGATAATTGTAATTTTATGGAGCAAGCAACTAATATATGATGATTCACTCTTATACATGTATCTATATAAATTTTTAATTATTAGATTTAGATACTAATTTCCTGAATTTGTTGTATTCATCAGACTCTTTATTATCAAAATAAGAAAGTATGTTAAAAGGTGTAAATTAAGAAGAAGAAAAAAAGCTCTCTACGAATATTGCAAATTCTTTGTGAGTTTTTTTTTTTCTAGTACTTTTAATTATTTTACTAAGTTAACCAAACAAATCATATATTCTTACAAGTGCTGATCCACACGAAACTAGTGGATCACGTTTACCACTAAAATTATAGAGAGTAATATAATAGATAGCAACAGATAATAGAATTCACTCTATCAAATAACGCACTCATCTCTAATAACGACCGTAAACAAGTTACTTTTGTGTAAATCAATTCTTTTGTTACTACACCATGGCGAACCCAAATGATTACAATACAAGTTGTACATATGAGTAGACAACAAAGACTTATTAGTGATAAGAAAAGTCTTAGAATTTGGTTTACATGCCAGAAACACAATGAGAGTTAAGACGAGCTTTGTTGAGACAATTGAAAGCATCGATGTAGGAGACGAATCCCATAAACCAAAACTCAAAACCATCTTGCGTCACCACATGCACATACCTCTCACTTGGCTTTAACACGTTCGACGATGAGCTTATGCTCCTTACCTTTTCCAACTCCATTACCACCTTTAAATACATTATAATATCACGTATCTATTATAAATAAACCAAAATCATTATAAAAAAAAAAAGATTGAATCTCGGTGGACCTGACCTTGTAGTATGCCGGAACACCGGTTCCACCGGCGGAAGAAGGATGACGGATGGCATAATCACTACAAAAAGCGATTCTTCTACTCGAAATGTATAACATTCCGGTCACTGGTCCTGATGTGGTCGATATGTAGCAAACGAACGAATCTAAGAGTTTCTCTGCGGCTAAGAGACCAAACTCCCTTTGAAATACTCTCTCTGGTCCTCCTTCCACGAGCATTTTAGTGCCTTGTGCAAGCCTTGCCATTGCTGCATCACTTATGCTAGGACTAAACTTCACTGTTTATGTACCGTCTCATAAAAAAACAGAGATATGTTTTAGGTTTAGTTCATAGGTAAAATTGGGGTTGTGTATATGTTAGGAAACCCTAAATCCAAAACCGAGTTCCCAACTCAAAAACCAAGATCGATATCATTTTTCGAACTAGAATATAATCAAACAAAGTTAAACTAAATAAGTTTTTAAAAATTCACATATTTTTGCCAAATAAAAAGTACGTGTACGTTATATTTGGTTAATATAAGATCTAATGAGGAATGATATTGTTGTTCATATACAAAGCCAAATGGAACCTAAACTATATGTGAACCAAGTAACCAACCCGAAACGAACAAACAAACTGATGTGAAAACCGAAATGTCCAATCCTAAATAAAACCAACAAATTTTGAGCTAAGAAAATCCTTTAAGAAGATAATATATGATGAATTTTTACTTACGGTGGTCTTTTAACCCATCGGCTAACTTTTCCGCCTTACGAGTCACCTCCTCCACTTTCTTCCCGCACCGATTCAACACTTCAATAACCTTATCCTTCGACCCTATATATCGATTCATTGTATTTGTATATATCACATAATATCAACACAGTTTATAATTGATCACCATTAGTTTAATCGATGCTTTTCTCAACTAATTAATTAGAAACTTACTCTTATCAGAAGCCGAGGTGGGAGAAGTAATTTGGACGTAAGGATTATTATTACGATTGTCATGACCGTTGGTCTTGTGCCTAGCCGTTGAGTCTTTCTCGTATACAGTCTTGTATTGTGGACTCATGATATTACCTAATGAAGATTATTGATGATGTTGATGTATAGTATATAGTGATAGAGAAGACAATATATAGGTGATATAGATATAGATCGGAAGCTCGTGGGTTGTACGCGATTTAACCTTTAATTGTTTACTATATTGTTATTCAAGGATTCTGATAACCATGATTGATTCTCCTTTGGACGGTGTCGTGGTACGTACTTTAATTGTTCCTTGCCTAACGAGATTCTTATTCCATCTTATCTTACGTACATGGATAATGAATGTTACGTAAATGCAGAGCCGGCCCTGAGGCCAAACAGTCCGGCCCTGAGGCCAAACAGTATAAGCATGGGCTTGCGACCTTATTTTTTTATATAAAATTTTTCTTTAATTTGCGGCCCATTTTTTTAGTTAGAAAATTGTCTATTTTTTTAGTTATAAAACGATCCATTTGTTATTTTAGCTTAAGACCACTTAAAACTCAGGGCCGACTCTGTGTGCATGAATAATGAATGTTATGATTTTTTTTTTTTTTTTTACTTCGGTGATGAATATATGGTTTAAATAATGAGTTTCACCCAAAATAGGTCTAGTGTGGCGTTGGCGTGGGTTAGTAGCCATCAGTTCGACGCCAACAAAAAGCAATTCCCTAACCAAAAAAGTTCTTCCTCTGCATCAATGGTCTTTATCGTGGAATCAACCAGGGTTCTAATAAGGATGAAGGCCAATGTAGTTGAAGATGCTGAGGATTATGATTTCAGAACTATTGGAAAAGTATCATTATACTGCTTGAGGTGGTTGTCATTAATTTACCATTGTAGGAGTGCACGGTCCTTTTTAAGTTTTAATTTTTTTTGTTCAAATCCTCTTTTTAAGTTTATGGATTCTATTTTCAAGGTCTAGTTAGTAATGATCTCTAAGAGTAACAAAACTATGTCTCGTTAGTGTTATAAATCAAATAAAATATTTTACTATAAATCAAATAAAATATTTTAATATATTCAAATAAAATATTTTGAATAGGAAAATAAAAATAGTCAAACACATTTATGGTTCGTTCGTGGTATAAATCATCCGTTAGTTAACTGTTTCTTTTAAAGTTCTCATATTATCATCACACATATGATTATTTTTGTTACTTTTTCTATTTTTTTGCTTACATTTTGACCATAATTTGCTTATGTTTTCCTTTTTAATTTGGTTAAAGTAATAAATATTAAATATATTCTCAATTTTTTTTTTACTTTTTGTAATATAAACAATGTTCAAATCAACCCGAGAATCTAAAAAATACAATGGAAAAAATAAAAATAAAAAATAAAAACAATTAAATAAGCAAGAAAATGTCAAAAATATAAATAAAAAAGATTCAAATTCAATCTAAACCCTAAACCACTCTCATACACTCATGCTCCACATAAAAAAAAAAAACATGTTGCTGAAGTTTGATGCTATTGTGATTCCTACTCACTTACTCTGAGATCGTAAACTCACTTAAAACTGGAATGTTAATAGCAATTTCCAGGTTCTACACGTAAATGGTTTTGACGTAGCAAAAAAAAAATTATCATTTCAAGACATTTTTTTTTTATGATTTCACCACTCCACTGTTTGTTCCCTATATAGTCAGTGAGGCGAGTAAAAATCTCTGTCGGCCAGTAACCAACCGGTACAAGGATGGTGCCATTATGAGGCCGACACCCAACCACCAATATACAAGCTTTGGATCACCTACATTTGTGTTTATTTATATATTAATAACTATTTATATAATAAAACAAAATAAAATAAATTGATTTATATATCTGAATAGTGAATTCTGTTTGGGAGCCTCCGAAAGTTACATTGGAGAGATTGCAAAAACAATAAGGATAGTGCGACTGGTGTCAAAAAAAAAAAAGAGTTGATGCTTAGATTCTTATATGTATAAACAATGGTGGTAAGAAATTGCGAGAAGGGAAGTTTAGAGGCAAAAGTCTACGAAATACTGCACGTTCTCATCATAAACTCGACACCTCTCCTTTTTGTGTGAGGCAATTAGGCTGGTGGATTGATCCGTTGGAACCTAGAGAAAAAGTTATACACATATTAGGTAAATAATCTAATTGTAACACTTATTTGCCAAAAATAAAGTGATGACAAAATTGGTAAAAACTATTTTCTCGCATGCTATATGGTCTTCTTTTGCCGAGAAAAAGAATGAATAATATGATCTTCGTATGATAAAACACAGTCGGAAAAGCATGCTATTTACAAAAATGATGTGTACAGTTAATTTCACTTATTTATGATTTTGCCATGACGTTAATTTGCCATCACGATGTTTAAAATGGTTATAATTGATACAAAGGTTAAGTTAGTAGACAAAACGTCGAGACTTTACAAGAATAAAGGACTATAGTACAATACTTAATAAATTATTGTTATAATTGATATAAGGTTATTAAGTTAATAGACAAAACTTCAAGACTTTACAAGAATAAAGGACTATAGTGCAATACTTAGTAAATTGTTATTTAAAAAAAAAAATGGAAAACAAAATTCCGCTCACACTGTCACATGCAGTGTTTTTAACTTCTTCTTCGTCTTTTTTTAATTGTTTCTTCTCTCGCCGCCGTTGTGCCGAATTGCACTTCTCCGGTTACGAATCGCCGGTTAAAATCTGTAATTCTCGCGTTGCGCCGCTAAAATTTCTCACAGATTCCAAGCAGGAATAATTATCCAGGACCTGTAATCGAAGAAGACGGTGAATTCGGAATCGAAAACCCATCGGGAATTTTATCGATTTTCCCTCAGTGTTTTGAAGATGGATTATAGAAGAGGAGGTCGAGGAAGAAGAGGAGGGCTTGGAGGCAGTGGCTCTGAGTATGCCAAAGCAAAGAAATTTGTGATTTTCCCTGTAAGTACAAATTTTTAGGGGTTTTGTTTTTTGCCCACAAAAATTGATTGTGCTGTGTCGTCTTATGTTATGATGATCAGTTTCAATAGCAGGTTCTGTGATTTTTTTGCAGGAAAATACGTTACCTGATCCAAAATCTATCTCATACGACTCGCAATTGCTTTCGAGCTACTTTAGTTTTCAAAAGTTTTGGAGAAACTCGCCTTATCATTTAGGCGATGGTGTTTCAAAGAAAGGTATCTGCATATAGAAATGAAAAAAAAACTCTCTTAGACACTTTGTAATCTTTAAAGCTATGTTTTTTTTCAAAATTTTAATGTATTTTCTATACTAATATCTACAGAGAAAGAGAGTTTAGACATTGAGAGGTTTTCAGACTCTGTGAAGCCAAAGAGGAAGTCTAACAAGAGTGGATCTTTTTATGATTATCTTGTTCTTAGAGCTGATAACTTCCCTAAAGAACTACTTGGAGGTTTGGAATATTCATCTCAACACATTTGTAATCTTTTTTTTTGGGTTCAGATTTGTGTTGCAGTCACTGAATTATATGCAATTTCAGATACGCGAAGAGAACGGCCTGTGAAGAGAGCAAAATGGACTCAAGACGCAGGTACATTGTTTTATTAGTTTCTAGTTTTAACAGCAATGTAAACTCAAGGTTGTGCGTCATTTGACAGACTTGCAGAAATTGGATGTGTTTGAGAGGCTTGAAGCAAAATACAAGGTAACAAGAACAACAGTGGTTTTCCCCTTCATATATAACCAACAAAGGAGCACTCAACAAGTCACTTTTTGATATATTGTTTGGTTAGACTGAAGGCAAGGAAGAGATTGAAGAAGGAGAAGATGATGATGAAGTTGTGGAATCAGAAGGAGAAGAGTCTGATAACGGAGATTATGATCAGGTTCTGCTTATTATCCAACTAATGGTGAAATGAAGCCTCTGAATCTTCTTATGAAGTTACTTAAAACTTTTCGTTCTTTTATGTTTTGTAGAATCATGACTTTGATGATGATGACGACTATAACCAGGCGGATGATGGTGATTGTAAGCATCATCTTTACTCTCTTGTCTCTTAATATACTTTAAAAACGATTCTAGCTAACTTTGTTTATCTCGTTTTTATCAATAGATGAAGATGTCTATTAAGCTTCTTCTTCTTCCCAAAAAAGATCAAGTTTTGCATACAAGAGAAGCCAGGCATGTCCCAGTAGATGAAGAAGTGTATTAAGCTTCTTCTTCTTGAGACAAATCACGTCTCACCTCCAAGGATCATTGTGGATTGTTCTTTGCTTTTAGTCATTCTCTGAATTTTGTTCTCTAACAAAATGTTGTATTTTGCTTAAAGGAATTTAATTTCAGTTTGCAGAGAAGGTTTTATCCGATTTTTTTTGGGCGAATGGAAGTGAAAGATTTTGCCAACTTGAAGCAAAAAATCTCATTTAGTTTTAGTGGTTGATATTAGGGATTTTTTATGAATTTTCTCCAACTGATTTAAGAATGAGTTTTAGCCGCTTATCATTGCCACCATCAACCTAAAAGTGCTCTAATCAGAAGAGCTAAACACTATAAATTGTTCTTCTCGCTTAAAACCAAACGTGCAACATTCAATTCAGCTGATATTCGAATCTTTCCAAGAAAAGGAAGAAGATTTTGATGGCAAAAGAGTATAGCTTTTTCACCCTCAAAACTGATTCTAGTTTTGTTGTAAGCCTCTGTCTGAACCAGAAAGTGTTCCTATATTTCACCTTCTCGTTATTCGGAGGCTGTAACATAAAACATATTTGAATAAACAAAATCTGAAAATTATGTCTGAAGCTTTTTGGGAAGAAGCTTGAATTAAGAAAACAGAAAGCTCCTCCTCAAGAAAAAAAGCCGAAGTCAAAACGATCAAAAGCAATACAGAAAAGTATTGATGATCTGATTGATTTTTGCCTCCTAACTAAGCCAAAATATGAAATTGCCTAAAAACTAGGGTTCATAAGGCTACTCAAGGAGGCAGACATATCCCAAAAACGAAAACAAAAAAAGCTGAAAAAGCAAAGAGATTGATGATGTTATGATTTCTGGAAGAGAAGTGGCGCTACCCTTTTTATTCACTCTCTGTTTCTAGGGTTTTTAATGGCTAGATTTTATGACTACTTTACCCCTCACCTCAAAAACGATTGTGTTAATTCGGTCTGGTTTTCTAAAACCAATCAATCAATTGTCAACATTGTAACCGCTTTCGGTTATGTGTCTTTTGGTTCAGATTCTTATAGTTGTTTGACATCCACTGCAACCAGATTAAATATCAAAATCTTTCACCCTACATATAGATATACCAATATAAGACATTTTCATAATTCTCCCATTATATAAAAAACATAGTAATATTTGGTAAATTAAGATTATTTTACATATCATGCGATGAGTTTTTTAATTCATATTTCCACATAATATTTGAAAGATGTCACAATCTAAATAAGTATATAGATATGTTAACTATTACATGCTATAGTCACAGCACATGTATTTGTTTTCTTCTTACTTAACAATGAATTCAATAATGAAATAAAAAATCTCTGGAGATTCTTATACAATTTACTTTTTCCTTACATGCACTGGACTGGATATATATGTCCAATTTACTTTTTTCCCAATATAATTTGCATATAGTTTGGTTATAAATTGTGAATTCAATGCCTAGATCTTACGCGGTTTTGTAGACAGCATGAAGTTCATATAACTAAAACGGCACGATGTTTACTTCTAATGGGGTAAGTTTTCGAGTTTGCACATGGGAGCCAGCGTATAAAAGCGTAAGCATGCGCGCTGTTTTAGTCGGTAACCGTTAAACCAACTGTTCCTACTCTTTTTTAAAACATTATTCTTTTTTCTCTTTTTTTGCCCTTTTAGATATACTTTTTTAAATTCTTCTCTGTCAAAGATTTTTCCTGAATCTTTCTTTCCTTTTTTTTTTCAATTTTATTTTCCTTTGTTGTTTCCTTTCAGGAAAAGAGAGGAAACAACGTTCTCTCCAGAATTTCTCAGATTCTTTCCCTTCATAAGTAAAACCCGAAAAGCGAAAAAAAAATAATTGCATTCGGATCCTAGGGCTTGGGATTGAAGTTTCTGAGAGATTCTCCGGCGAAATTCAAGACTCAAATCTCGGCAATGTCGACGTTTTCGCCGTCATTGGCCGCAATTTCGTTTCTTTTTCTGATTCTTCTGAATCTATCTCTGGCTTCCGCCAATTCTTCGACGGAGATTAAAGGAGGAGCGATTCGATTACCTTCGGAGAAGATCAACGGTGAAAACAGAGGCGAATTCTGTAAAGGAACGGTTAAACCGGCTACGTGTCCGGTTAAGTGTTTCAGGGCTGATCCGGTTTGCGGCGAGGACAGCGTTACGTACTGGTGCGGTTGTGCAGATGCTTTGTGCCATGGCGTTGGCGTTTCTAAACCAGGAGCTTGCGATATTGGTAATGGCGTTGGATTGTCTGTCCCTGGTCAAGCTCTGCTTTTGATCCACATTGTCTGGCTAATGGTTCTTGGGTTTTCTATTCTCTTAGGCCTCTTCTGATTTCGTTGATTTTTGTGAGGTTGATAGATTTTGAGATGAATCTTTTGTTTATAATCTTTCATGTCTATAATAAGCGTTTTTCTCTTCTTCTCTATATTGAAATTACATGAAAACTAAGGAGAATGATCATTATCTCGTTTGTTCCTTACAAAAGAAGCTTTTTTGAATCTTGCTTTCTCCATCTCTTTCCCAAGATAATCCAGGATTGTATCAGTTACATGATTAGGCAAACAATTTGCATCTAGCATCGCTTTCAAGTACTTGTATGCTTCTTTCAGTTTCCCTGCTTTGCTATTCACTTCGATCATCGTGTTGTAACTCACAACGTCCGGGTTTATTCCACTGCTCTTCATATGCTCAAACAGTCTGGTTGCTTCATCTAACCGGTTTGCTTTCCCGAGCGCGTTGATCAGCGTGTTGTACATTACAATGTCTAGATATCCTCCTTGCTCAGTGAGTCTGTCGAGAACCGCACTGGCTAAGTCGGCTCTTCCCATTTTTCCTAATCCTTGGATTATTACATTATATGTTGCTATGTCTGCTGCGCAAAAGTTCTCACCCATTTGGTCGAGCACTCCACGGGCGGTTTTGAAGTAGCCCTTCTTGACGAACGAGCTCATCATGGAGTTGTAGGTGTAACTCGTGAGATCGGTTACACCCATTTCATTGAATATCTCAAACAATTTGCAGGCTAAGCTGAGATCACCTTTGGACAGATAAATAGATAGGAAGGTGTTCATCATGTCTACGTCGAAAGAATCTGGCTTTGCTTCAACCCTTTGCCCTCTGGCTAAAGCAAACAAGGGCTTAGGCTGATTGCTCTGATGAGCTAATTGGTCCATATATGGAGATGATGACCAAGGATCATCTTCGACCGGTGTAAGTTCCTCGGCTTTAGCTCCATCGTCTTTTGAACCCACCAAGCTCATGATATCTACGAAGCTTCCTTTACTTGGAAACATTGGGGTGTAATCTTTGTCTTTGCTCTGTGGACGTTTTAGTGAAGCTTCCACTCCAGCGTTCCATCTCAGAACATTAGGCACCAAGTTTCCTCCACGTACGTGCTTCATTAGCTTCTCTTTCCAATCCCACCTCCCTTGTTTGTGAAATCCGATTAAGAGCGAACTAATTGTAACCAAATCCACAGAGAAACCTCTAGTTTCCATCTCCTCTACCAATTTCACCGCTCCCTCTAGCTTCCCTTCCCTGCAAAGCTGCAACACAACAATGCTAAAAGTAATGGCATCTACAAACTGACCCTTCTTCTTCAAATCACAGAACAGAGTAAAACCAGCCTCAGCCCTTCCGTTTCTAAACAACCCGTCAATCAGAATGTTGTTTGTCCAGCAGGAAGCTCTTACTCCTTCTTGAACCATCTTCTCAAACAGCTGACAAGCCTCAACGACTTTTCTTGCCTTGAGCGTCCCGTCTAGAAGAGAATTATACAGAACAGTATCAGGTACAAACCCGTTATACTGCATCTCACCGAAAATCCTCATTGCATCATCCATCAGGTAAGATTTACAGCATCCTTGGATCAGTATACGATATGTCGAATTATCAGGCTCATGGCCAGATACTTTAAGTTCGTCCCATACAATCAAAGCATCTTTCGCTTTTCCAACTAAACACAACACATGAATCAGGCTGTTATATGTGCATATATCAGGACCAGCACAAGATCCAGAGATCGAGCTTTGCTCCTTCATTTCCTTGAACAAACTCAATGCAGCATCTAAATCTCCCCAACAGCCAAATCCATGAATACATATGTTATAACCCCAAGTATCAAATTTGAATCTTTCCATTCCCTTCAACTTATCAAAAACACCTTTGAATTCCAATTTCATATTGGCTTTCCTTAGACCTACCAAGAGCTCATTAACAGCAACCGTTCCAGGAAGATAACTAACACTAACTCCACCGGTCTCACTAGGGTTATCAGAAGCTTCTAGAAGCTTGAAGAAAATGGACAGAGCAAGACGCAATTCATTTTTCTTCACAAGAGCAATAAGAACAGAATCATACAAACGAGGGTTTAAGCAACCTCCTAATTCCTCCATGTAATCCAAAACTCCTAGTGCCGAATCGTACTTACCCGAACGGATTAGAGAATCGAGCAGTAACTTGGACGTCGTCTGGTCCAAATTAACGCCATCTTCCTTCATTGAACCAAGCAGATTGGGAATTTCTCCGAGAAGCCCAGTCCGGCAAACAGTGCGAAATATCTGAGAGTAAGCTGATGCAGAGTGTTTGTATCCCGGCCGGAGAGAAAAACACCATCTGAAGAAATCTAGCTTCTTCGAAGGATCCAAGGAGTTTCGACGAAGGATCTGGAGGACGATAGGTTCCGAAATCGGGGTGGAATTCGCGTCGAGGTTCCGTGTACCCGAATGAGACAAGGTCTTGGAAAGAGACGCGACGACAAGGACATTGCAAAGTTGTGGAAATGGTGGAATTTTCGCCGGAGATAGACCGGCAATTGCAGCTGATACGGCGCTTGCTCTTCCATGGCGCATCGCATAGTGATCACTGAGAAAAATTGAAGGCAGAGAAAACGAACCGAAAGCTTAACAGTAACACGGCGTCGTTTAGTTTAAATTGCTCGTAAAACGAAGATTCGGCAAATAATTTATTATGATGGGCTGAAGCGTAGGCCCATTAATAATTCAGAAATAGGGTTTTCAATTTCCAGTCGATAAACCTTAAGCTCTCTCCGTCGTCTTCATCCTCTCTGCTTGCCGTTTTCATCGATTATCATCGAGAGAGAAGATTAAATCGGTTGTAAGAATGGGTTACAAGAGGAAGAGAGGTGATGGTGAGGGTGAAGAAATGGAAGCAGAAGATCGTGGAAGACCTAGTTTTAACGGGACGGAGAAGAGGAATGTTATACTTCCTTCGATGATTAAGAACAAAGATAAGAGATCTAAAGTGTATGCGAAGCAGAAACATGAAAAGAAATTGGAAAAGCAGAAGAAGATTAAGGCTCGTGACGCTGCTGAGAAACGAGCTCTAGAGCTTGGCGAGGAGGTAAAGTAAAGATCTGGAAAAAAAAATTTGGGGATTTTTTTTCGTTTTTTCTTTAGCTGTTGTGATTCTGAAATCGAAATTTCGTTTTTTCTTCCTTCCTTTTACAGCCTCCACAAAAGATGATTCCGCGGACAATTGAGAATACTAGAGAATCTGATGAAACCATTTGTAGACCTGACGACGAAGAAGTACGCTTTTCGATTTTGTTTCGATCTTCATGTTCAATGTTCAATAATTTTGAATTTGATTTTGATCTTGTCACTAATTCAATGGAATTGAATTTGTAGTTGTTTGCGGAAATCGATGCTGATGAATTTAATCCAGTCCTGAGACGTGAGATCACACCTAAGGTCTTGATCACAACATGTCGCTTCAATTCCACTGTAAGCCTTTTCGCTCAAATCTTTATGACATGGTTGATTGTTAAAAAAGAAAACCTAATTTGTAATCTACCATCGTTGCATTAGAGATTCTACAGTCTTGTTTGTGATTTTTGATTAAAGTATTGTTGTTGGAATCGCAGAGAGGACCTGCATTTATATCTGAGTTGCTCTCGGTGATACCAAACTCTCATTATCAGAAAAGAGGAACTTATGATCTGAAAAAGGTATTGCTATTAGTTTCAGAGATTCCATGGTATCTCTTGTAGAAGTTCATATCTTTGTTAACCTTCTAAATATTGTTTTGTAGATCGTAGAGTACGCAACAAAGAAAGATTTTACATCTCTCATTGTCGTTCACACACGTCGAAGAGAACCTGGTTAGTTCTCACTCGTGAGTTTAATATTTTGTGTCCTTTGATTGTCATCTATCTACTGTTTGTTTCAAGGTTTTGCTATTTCATATGTAGATGCGCTCCTTATCATCGGTTTGCCAAATGGTCCTACTGCTCATTTCAAATTGTCAAATCTTGTTCTGAGGAAGGATATTAAGGTGTGTAAATATAAACACATTCTTCTTCTTGTCTGCATCGAGTGTGTATTAGTGATTACTGAATTGGACATCAAATTTCATTGCAGAATCATGGGAATCCGACAAGCCATGAACCGGAACTGGTTTTGAATAACTTTACAACGCGTTTAGGAAATCGTGTTGGGAGGTATATATAGTCTTTCAAACTGTTGACTTCATTTAATCTTATCGTTTTTGCTAACTTCGCTAATGTTATATTTCATGATTTCTCAGATTTTTTCAATCACTCTTCCCTCAAGAACCTAATTTCCGTGGTAGGAGAGTTGTAACATTCCACAACCAGCGTGACTTTATATTTTTCAGACATCATCGGTACATAATTTCACCTCTTCTTCTTCTTCTTCTTCTTTTTCTTCTTCCTTCTTTCTTTGAAAGCATATATTGAACAAATGCAATTCCCTGCTCAGTTACATATTCGAGACAAAAGAAAGCAAACAAAGTGGTACGAAAGGAAAAGAGAGTGTTGTTGGAGAGAAAGTAAAAGCTCGTCTTCAGGTTAGCATATCGAAAGTTTCTATATCCCGTTTGTGTTTGGAGCTATCAATGTTAGTTTTTTTATCCCTAAATCGTGGAATTTTATGTGCAGGAATGTGGTCCTCGATTCACGCTTAAGCTAGTTACTTTACAGCATGGAACTTTTGACACCAAAGGCGGAGAATTTGAATGGGTTCATAAGGTAAAAAAACCACAAGATATAAACTAAGCTTTAATGCTTGTCCTTAAGAAGTTGCTAATCATTAATCCATGTTTTGGTTTTCATTACAGCCTGAGATGGACACTAGCAGGAGGAGGTTCTTCTTATGAATTTTGCTGTCTTCGAGTTTCACCAAGTTTTTGTTTATTTGTTTTTTAACCAACCAAATTTGTAAGGTTAAATCGTCTTTAAATCTTCATATTTCTTCTCAGTAGCCATCGAAACAATTGTACCGACTTATTTCAACAATACAGGTCCTCGTGTTTGATTCGAATCTAGCTTTTCGAAAAAAGGTTGATATAAGCTATTTGGTTAAGCATGTGATTGTTTGTTAAATTCGCCATACATGTGCGGTGTGACGTCATACATGTGCGGTGTGACGTCATACATGTGATGTCATGGCTGGTGACGCCATGAAGTTAAAAACGCTAAAGAAACGACCACGTGCTCACCACTTTCGATAAGATTCATGTATGATGAACAATCTTATTTGAGATGGTATATAACTATATATCGCCTTTCAAAGAAAAAGATAAAATAATGGAACCTTCGATAATTCCTACTATACCTGTATTATTAATTTTGATAAAAAAATCTACAGAAAATACACACCTTTTGTTTTTCAGCTACTACATTACATCCGTTAAAATAATACTTATTCCTAACGAAAACATGGTGCAAGAAATGAATACATAATGCAGAAACTAAAGTAACAAAAAAAAAGGACTAAACAAAATTATTTTATCTTTGTTTAGTTATAAGACCAACATCATCTATATCATAAAACTATTAAAATGAAATATACAAACCTAAAGCTTAGCTTAAAAGATATGAATCAAAAATTAGTACATTAAATATAAAGAATATGTAGTTAAGACTAAGCTTCAACATTGTACCTATGTGCCTTCTCTAGAGCCTCTAGCCACCGTGAAGCAACCTCCTTTTGATCCTCTAGTCTCCTCCGGCACAATTTCATCCAAAGCCAGGATTACATCCGAAGGCATTTTCGTCGATGAGGCAACCACGTAAAGTCGTAAACGGTGGCTCCGTTAGATGTAGAAAAAAATAAAATCATCACATTTGAATATTTTGGGAGATAATTTTGAATTAAACTGAAAAGAAAAAAATACTCTACAAAACACCATCATCCACGACAACACTCAAGAATTCTTTTATACCTATAAAATATAGAACAACTGACAATTTAGTATTCTATGTATCTAACACTCGGCTTATAGTGATGTACCGGCCCCATTCAAAAAGTGGATATGATATCTATTTATTTAAACGCATTCGATGTCTTTTTTCTAGATATTGTCATAATTTCCATAGTGGTAAATTTACTTAGGTTAAGGTGTTGGTGAGGCTTTATGACACTAGATATTTGTATTGTAGGAACGAAGTTTCAAGTTATATATCACTATAAGACATGGAGAAAGATCATTGTACGTTCTTGTGGTGATACGTATTTTGATGTTTTTTTTTGTAACAAAAACGTATTTTTGATGTTTTAAACACACACACACAGACCACAAAAAAAGAACTGAAAATGTTGAAAGAAAAAATTATTTATATAATGGTTAACTTTACTACATACTAGTTCGGGACAGGTAAGTAACTTGAGTTGAAGTGAAACTAATCATTAACTCTGTTTTGTTTTCTTATTTTCAAGAATTTCTTGACTAAAACACATTATGGTTTCTTTTATGCTTTTTTACAAAAAGAAGAGAACAATAATTATTCTATTCGAACAACAATTATTATTCTTCTGGTGTCCTAGAAGGCTAGAACCACACTAATTAGAAAGGAATAAAAAGCCTAGAATAGAGAACCTTAATATAAGCCAAAATTTGTCCACTAATAACGATGAATGTCTCCATGTCGTCGTCAATAGTGGCGGCTATAACCACAAAGCATATTTCCAAAATATATCCTTCGAAATAAAATAAAAAAGCTGCAACTTAGGTTTGAAGCTCCGATAATTTTGCATAATGAACCGTTACTAACTTGCCACGTGTCAATTTACAATAAACAAATATAAATGTTGTCCTCTAATGAAAACTCCATTTTTTGTCAACGTTTAGGGAAAACATTATTTAACATTCATTTAACATTTTAACCTTACTAATAAATACTATTCGAGATCATATTGGATTCAAATCTTGTTATAATTCATAGTAACACAGTTGTTTAACTAATTAAAAAATTACACTATTTAATAACTGAAGTTATATTAAAACTGATTTCTCGCGTAAAAAAATTCACACAAAAATATAAATTTGGAAGAGCAAATAGACACACGGTTTAGCCGCGATATGAATGAAGAAACATGTCGGCTTCTAGATCATGAAATGGCACATGTGCTTCGAAGTTCGAACTAATAAGAGCTTACCACGTCCCATTTTCTCTATTTCTGAGAAATTACTAAAAGTAATAATTTTTTTCGTTTAAAAAATAAAAATAAAAATATTGGCCCTTTAAATAGGACCTTTACTTGACTAGCTTCTCTTCACCGCCAGTCTACACTACTACTTGTATTTTAAAAAAAAAATAAACAGAGAGAGAGGAAAGAAAAACTCTGATCTAGGGTTTGAGTGAAGGGTTTTTTTTTTTCTTGTCTCTGTGTTTTTGGAACTGTGTTTAGTGTAAAAATGGAGAAAAATCTGGTGGGTTATAGATTTTGTCCAACGGGAGAGGAACTGATAAACCATTACCTGAAGAACAAAATTCTGGGTAAGTCATGGCTCGTCGACGATGCGATTAGCGAGATCAACATCTGTAGTTACGAACCAATTTGTTTGCCTTGTAAGTTTTTCTAAACTTTTTGAATTCACCACAGGAAAATTTTTCAGAATCATCAAATCAATCATTTTCTGAATTCTGGTAAAAAAAATTGTAGCTTTATCGAAGATCGAATCGGAGGATCCTGTATGGTACTTCTTCTCCCCGAAAGAGTACACTTCCGCGAAGAAGAATGCGACGAAGAGGACTACACGTTTTGGGTTTTGGAAATCTACTGGTAAAGATCGGAAAATCAAGGATAAGAGAGGAGAGATCATCGGGAACAAGAAGACGCTTGTCTACCATGAAGGTAGGTCTCCAAATGGAGTTGGGACTCGTTGGGTTATACACGAGTATGAAATCACTTGCTTGCCTCTTCAACAGGTAACAAATTTATCAGAGTTTTTTTGTTTTTTTGGTTTGCTTCAATTTAATTGAATTTTTGCTAATTTTTAGGCATGTTTTTGTTGAAATAGATTTGGAGGGTTTTGATTCAATTTGAGGTTCTGTGTTGGTTGAATTGGCCTTATTGTTTCATTCTTCTTGAAATGAATTAGGGTTTGGTTCATCTGTTTGTGATCTACTTCTTGAGGGTTTAATTGTTACAGAAGTTGTTGCCTTGTTTTTTTTTTTAAATGGTTAGAGTCAAAGCTTGTGAAAGAGTTGTGTTGAGTGATGAGTATTTAACTTTGTTTTGTTTGCAAATATATAACTTTATCTGTGTGTACTTTTGAAATTCGTTTCAGAGGAAGTACGTTATCTGCAAAGTAATGTATAATGGTGAAGAAGGAGGAGACATTTTCTTTGGTAATAACACGAATGAGACAACAAGCTACTCTCTGGTCTCTGATCCGAAAGCTGTCGGATCGATTAACACAGTGCCTGAGGTGTGTCCAGCTTCTGAGAAGTTTTCGTTATTCATTTTGCATCGACCTGTTTCTTTACTCTCTTTACATGTTCAGGTTATGCAGGCAGGTCAAGAAGATGTTTTGTATGTGAATGATTTATCAATCTCGATGAACGAACAAGAGCATCTTGGATTTAATCCAGACACGTTTTTCAGCGACTACAACCCTACCTTGCAGCCACAAGCTCCTGATTACGATGATCAGTATATTACTAGATTGCTGGATTTTAACGGAGGCGATTTCGAAGGTGTGATTTCCGATCAAGAATTGATAATGATGACGAACAACAACGATCACAGGCCAAGAAAACCTTTGTCAGGGATCATTGTTGATTATAGCAGTGAGAGCGATGCTGAATCGATATCTGCAACGGTAAAGCACATTTTTCAACCCTTTTCTTGGGGTAATCTGTATTGTACTAAGCTTTTTCCATTCTAATGTGACAGAGTTACCAAGGAACAACAAGTCCAGGTGATAGCGTTGGTAGTTCGAATAAACACTTCCCAAGTTGCTCAAGCTCAGACTCTTGCAAAGATCTACAAACTTGTGTAGATCCTTCAATCAGTAAGAAGATCAAGAAATCTCAAGTCACCGTACCATTAAAACAAGAGGTCTTGAGTTGTTCTCTTTCGTTGGTTTTGTGGGTACTTTTTATCTTATATTCCTTTTATAATGATAATGATGATATGATCCGCATTCCAGGTGAAAGAAGGTAAGTCTAAAGCCGTCGATGCAAGCATAGACAAGAAGACAGAGAAGAAGTGCTGGTTTATTGTAGAGGAAGCAATGCAGAGAAAAGGCAAGAAGACTCCACGGTTTATCTATCTAGTGAACATGATCCTAGGCTTCATCCTCTTGGTGGCTCTCATTGGCACATCATGTCGGTTTTTTACTAACCGTCAAAACCTGAACCCGGTGATGAAGTTTTGATCGCAAAGGAAAGGCAAAAGCAGATCGATCGAAGCACTCGTTTTTAATTGGCTTTTTTTCTAATTCTGTTTTCTGTGTGTGATAAGGTATGTGTAACAATAGATGAAACTCGTATTGTTCTCAACCTGTATATCTTTACAGGTCTTTCTTGTGCCTAAAGTTAAAATGAAATTTTGGGTTTGTAATCTCCTCAATTCAGTGTAAGAGAGCTGCAGAATAATCTAAACAGGGGTAAGATTAAGCAAGAATGTCTCAAGGTCTTACATTTATCTTTATGGACAGATGATCATAAGTGGATAAGAGTATTAGACAAAGGGTCAAGATCCTACAAATTTTATGAACATAGCTTTCAGTTTGTTTGTAGGACTATAGTGTGTCCTTATCTCTTCAAATTGGCAAAAAGGATGTTACTTGTGCCTTAAGGTAATGCATTTTAAGGCTTCTTATCTCATTTTTACTCTAACAGAGCTCCTGAATCATCCAAAAACAAAAAACAAAGTGAATTGAACAAAAGTGTCTGAAGATCCTACATTTATCTTTACGAACATATATGGGCAAAGATTAAACAAACTGCCTCAGGACCCTCAGGACGGTTTAGAAAATCACAAGTTTCTGAAAAGAAGAGGCAGATTACATCACAGATCCCAAGTGTTTCAAGGACCTTGACCCAGAGATTTGATCTGCCAAGAATCTAATCGAGTGTGCCATGAAACACGCGGCTAAGCATCTGCTCGTCGTTGAATCAGTCATCACTGGTAAACGCATGATAAGAAAACAAAACAACAATGTCATGAGCAAGATCGATAAAATCTATGCACGAGCAAAAATCGTATTCAAAGATCTGACCTTTAAGAGCGACTGCGTTTGATGTTAAAACGAGCATATCTACAATGAAGATCACCGAAACGGGTATATCCCAGACCTGTAACCAGAATTACAGACATATCACACTTCAGCATTTACAAACCACCTTAGCACGAGGCCACGAAGACACTATGTTGAATAGTAATGATGTAAAGACAAGATTCTGAGGAATTCTTATGAACCATACCGGCATAGCAAATAGAAAGATCTTCACGTAACTCGAGATTAAGATCCCCAAAAGAATCTCTTTTCTTCTGTAAATCATATACAACTAAGTTATTAAGGGCAAATAAATGTCAATCTTTTGTGAAATTAATAATAAAGAAAACATATTTATATACCTGGAGGCATCAACTGACATAACCAACATAATCTTAGCCGCAAGTGCAAACGACAGAACAAATGCGAAATTCGTAGATAGGACATTGACCAGAATCTGTAAAATGTATATGATCATTTACTAACTTATCATATAGACTGAAATCTATGAAACTTCATGGAAAATTTAACCAACCTCTAGAGATGCAAGACACATCGACACACTTGAATCATCAACATTGGTTCTTCGCAGTAGCAAGCTTCTATCTTTTGAAATCGTTAAAGGCTCTCCAAAATAAAAGTTATAATATACTATATATCTGCCCTTTATAGTATAGTATAAAACAAAAGGATACATGTATCTAGAAGAAGATAAGCCAAGACCAATTTCCACAACAGATGCTGTCAAATTGTGAAATCCTCTGAGGATCAGATAACTGTAGATTCATTCGTCCATATCTATTTAGAATCAAACTTCATGAAAACAATATGTTTACTAAATTTCCAGAGGCAAAACTAGAATCTAGAAACAGGGGTCAATGCTTAATGAGCAGATTTTTTTTTGGTACCCAGAAAATGAAAAATGTAGAGAAGCCTTTAGCCATTATTCATGAAGTAGAATCAAAAAACAAAATTGCTTTTTTACCTGAACATTTAAAGTTTCTTGAGTAACCCCATTGTAGAGTAAGTGTCGATATGCCTTTGTTTTGTGAAGAATCAAGTCGATGAAGATAATCTGATTAAAAAAAAAGGAAAATTGATGAACCAAAAAGCAAAAGTTTAACAATTGAAAATGGAAAATTAAAGTTAGACATAGACAGACCATCAGCTCACACTCGATATATTCGTCTGCTACTTCCTTGCAGTTCTCCTATCAATTTTTTTTACATTAAAAAGAAGAAGAAGAAGGAAGAAGAAAAAATTGCAAGAAGAAAGTATTGATGAAATAAGAAATCGGAAAAGCTTACGCATTTCATAAGGCGAAAATTCCCAGGAGAGTATTGGATAAACAATGATTTAACCTTATGGCCACACTCCACACACTTCTTCTCTCTCGCCATCTCTCTTTTTCTCTTTTCTTCCTCTCTCTCTCACTCTAACTACAGTTTCCTTCCGGTTCCGTATCCCGGTACGAGATCAGATTCTTATTCGGGTATTTCCTAATAAGGCTATAATGGGCCTTTGCTTGGTCAAGTTTTGGGCCGAAGTCTAAATCCTTAAGTGTTTGTACCATTACTAAGCTCGTTTTTCTTTTACAAACCATTGCTAATGCAAGGTATGACACTCAGATAATAAAAATATTTTTGGAGTTTTAGAAATAACGCAGAATACAAACCAAATTTTGAATTTAAAATTACGAAATCATTTAAAAAATAGTAATTGCAAACACGAATGTAAAATAATAAGTGGGTTTGAAACCATTATACATACATGTGCTCCAACGGTTTGCACATATATTTTTACCATTATGTCATAAGTTATACTACATGGTAGTGTGGCGTTTGTGCGAGTTGTAAACAAAAAAAAAATTATTTTCTATACTATAGCATTACATTATACCAATTACAAATACAAGCCTAGTATTTTAAAAGTTGGAAGCCCAAACAAATGTTTTCTGTTGCATCCATCAGGCCAGGCCAACTGGCCAAGTATATGTTTGATGATGGTTCTGCCAATACATAGTATAATAAGTTGCATATGATATTGGTTCTTGTGATATCAACTAGATCCCTAATTTAGTTACACATTTATTCTTATAACTTGTGAATCCAAACCAGACACGTACGGTCGCACGGACTAACGGTTACAAGTAATTAAAAAAACAAGAATCTAACAATGTAAATGAGAAGTAGTAGACATTTTCTTTTTGGGATACTGTAAAAGAAGATACAGTACCTTTTTTGTATTTCTTCTTCTAAATTTTTATTATTATAAATTGATAATGTCCCCAAAAATAAAATAAAAATTCAAATTGTACTTCCGTAGCTTCTCTTTTTTTGTCTCTACCCATAACCTACAAATCTCTTTAATTAATCAAGCAAAGACAATAGTAACCAAACAAACTAATATTGGACCATGGGTTAGAGAGAGAGAGAAGTTAGAGATATAGGTTAGAAAGAGAGAGAGAGAGAGCTTTTGGAACTGCCCATTAGCTTAGAATGTACCATGAAACTTTGTCAGCTTAGCTATAGATAGGCACAGAGAGTACATTTTATAGAATTTACAAGCCTTTTTATCCTTCCAACTTATCCATGTCAAATGATAAAAAAAAAACCACAAGATATCACCACTTTTGATTTATGGATTGGTGTATATATATTATCAATATGTTTAGTTAACAATTAAAAACTCGAGATTAGATAAAATGATAATTTTATTAATATATATTTATATATAAGCTTAATACAATATTGAAATTAAAGATGGGGGTTTCGGACATGGTAATTAACTAGGGCCTAGGGCTCAAGAACTACCATGATGAAACCAAAACTCAAAATGAAACATCAGAAAACCAATATATATGTATAATATAAGCCCGGTTAAGTTCCTCACTACATTCTAGTTCCCCAATGCCAAAATACCTTGAATGGTTTAGAGTTGGAAATAACTAAAAAGGAGCAAACAAAGGGAATTTTAAGAAATTGGTGAATATGAATGTTTTCTAAAGCTGTAAGGACTTCCCTTTCCTTTTATAATCTTCATCATCGCTTAACTGCAAAACCGAAGAAGACGATGCACCCATTTCGCCACGTGGCGACCTCCAAGTTGATTCATCGTCGTCTCTGATCACAACCGGAGAAGACGAAGAGTACCCTGCAACAACACCCATTTCGCCACGTGTCTCCCCTGAAGAAGAAGACTCCTCCACGTCGACACCAAACAGCCTTACCTTCTTCACCGTCCCCTCCGGCGGCGGCGGCTGAGAAGGAGTAAAAGGCGGCAGCATCGCCGACGACGACGACGAAGTAACCCTCGACGCAGGATAAACAGGATGCGAGTCATAAACCAACGACGGCTCAGATCTACCAAGATTCCACTGATGATGATGATGATCCAACGGTGTTCCCGCGTAGTAACGCCCTCCATTAACAACTCTACCATAACCATACTCTAAAACCTCCCTCTCTTGAAACCGGTTATGGTAAAGCGGTGGAAAACTCCGGTAACGAGACATGGAATATTCCGTCACCGGAAAGTAACTAGCCGTTGGATAGGTGGGAGACCCGAAAATGGGATGAGTGATGTTGTGTACGAGGTTTGTGTCGGCTCGATGCCTCCAATCGATGAAGAGCAGCTTCCTTCGATTCTCCGGTTCGTTGTCGTCGGGGACGTAGGCACGGTGGAACGAGACGGCGTCTCCGTTTTCGAGGTTCTTGTCTTTGACGAAACGGCTCCATCCTTTAGTCATCACGTAGCTTTGGCTACTGTTCCAGTACGAGTACCGAAACCTCCACGTCTTACCGTTTCTGTCTTCGAAATCCAACACCGTGCCGTTTTGATTGTTCGCTAACGGGAAGTAGTTCTCTGCATGTTGCTTTGGAATGACGAGCCGGTTTAGTTTCCCGACGTCGCTTGGTGTTAACACTTTGTCGAACATGTGCTCTCTAAACGCCAAGTTGAAGTTGTTGTTGTTGTTGCCCGAGCCATTAGCTCCAATCTCAGCGAGTTCTTGGTCAGAGTTCGACATATCCATCAAAAGTATCAAGCTTTTTTTTAAAGAAATTTTTGTATCAAATTGAGAAGAATGATGGCCCAATTCAAGATCTTCAAAAGTATCCAACTTGCTTTTAAATGGCTTAATAAAAGATGAACCAATTCAACATCGTTCAAAAAATTATCCAACCCTTTTTTTTTTTATGGATCTGATGAGTGATTCTTGATAATATGATGATCCAATACAAAACCCTTCAACAAACATGAGATATTTTTTATCAGAAACCAAATAAAACTCACAACCGCAAAAATAATAAAAAAGGCAGCTAAATCGAATATTAAAATCAAAGAATTGAAGACCAAGTGAAGAAAAAAAACCCTAGAATCCAGAAGAAGAAGACAGACGTACTCTTTGTGTTTGCTTCTTCTCCTGATCTTTTCGCTGATTCCAAAAATTTAAAACAATGAAAATGATATCAATGGTTTTTCAAGTTTAATCTGGGCTCTCTCTCTCTCTCTTTTTATCTCTCACTTTCTCTCCATATGACTTTAAAGGGTGAAGAAAAATAGTGGTTTGAGAGATTTTCTCGATGATAGAGAAGAAGATCACATCTTAGAGAGAGCAAAAGGGCCCCATGAATGTTGTGGTTCGGGTCATGTGAGAGCTTCTTGTCCTTTTCAATTTAGCTATAGACTTGGGGTAACTCTAGCTATTTATATAGATATACAAATCTATACTTACATGTAATGTTGTCTATAGGTGAGGTAAGTGTATCAATGTTTTTTTAGTCTATATGCTCTCTTTTTGATATCTGTATTTTTATTTATTTTCTTCTTTATTCATATCAGATTTTTTGTATTTATTGTTTTTGTTTGCTGATTATTTCTAGCTTATTAAATTAAGTACTCATATTTTATAACTAATCTGTGTTCGCAAAAAATAGAATACACAACAACAATACACTTTTAACATAGATTTATTAGATATTAGCCCACGTATAAACGGACGCGTGGAATAGTTAATTTTAGTATCTATACAAATATATATCAAGAAATTAGTAAAAATACCATGAAAATAGTCAATAAATTATTACAAGATAAGAATCAGACCATACCTTTTTATCTATACATGCATGTATATCAAAATATGTAAAATGACAAAGAAAACTTTTTAATAATAAATTACTAGATAGAAAATTAGACAATGTAAATAAATTTTATAAGAAATCATAGAAATAAATACTTCAGTGAACTTATTATTGATCCTAAAAAAATTTCATATTTTTTAGTAGTTTTAATATAAAACATTTTTCTTTTATTTATTTTTAATTTATAAACAATAAAATATCGCATATATAGTAAATAAGTTTTTTTTTACAGCCGTATATAGTAATTTAAAAGATGTAAAATTATAATGAGGCAATCTAAAAACAACTTTAGTTTTATGTTTTTCAAAAGTACTTCAGATTTATTGTAAAAATATACTAAATATTATCTTACACTTTTTAAAAATGGTCTTACAACAACTGTACAAAAAGTTTATATAAAATTTCTCAATGCTGTTTAAATACTAATGTTGTAGTATTTTTGTATTTTTCTAAATTTTTATAATTAAAAGTAGTAAATATTTTAAGAATTGTTTTCAGTTCAAATTTCTCAGGTGATAACCAAATATTTTTTGTCTACAGGTGATAACCAATAAAGTCTTCTAGATATTTTGTGTATAATATTTACAAGAGTTATTTTGTTTTCTGGTAAGTTGTAATTGGCTTAGTATCTCGAATGTTAACACGTGGATTTCAGTCTGATATCTCAATTAAAACAATATATGTATTAGTGTATTGCTTGTCGAAATTTGTCAAAAAGGTGACCCTGATTAAGATTTTCTTTTAAATCTCTTTGTTATATATTTTATATGGATTATGAAGAAAAAAAGTGTATTCTTCTGACTTTATTCGTAATTACATTTACTTGTTAGAACTGAACAAGTCACATGGATTATCTCACTCATACCTAATAAATATACTTGCGAAAACATACATTAGATCAGAGAGATCAGATCAGAAAACATACCATTACCTGCTATTCTTTATGTAAGAAGACACAACTAATTCATCTGATTTTGGTTATTACAGAACGCGAGTAAAAAGTAGGTCTGGGTTTCTATGTGTGTCCATGTTTTGTGGTCCAAAATTCTACATTACATCAACATCAAAGCACAATAAAGCATTTTGACATTATGAAAAATATGTACAGATCAATGCATGTATGACGTTATGTCAATAGTTTTTAATAAATCCAGGAATTGGAATAAGTATCTTGTAGTTCAATTAGGTTTTGGTTATTAGTTTCGTTTACATGTTATAAAAAAGTATGTTTCGGATCTCTTTCGTAGCACTTCAACTGAAAATAATCAATGTGACATTAGACTGGTGGTTGAATTCAGGTCAACCGAATACGTAGGCATTAAGAGGGACACACGAGTTTGCTCCCATTGAGATGGATAATTTATCATGGGAAATTGGCAGAAATGACAAAGAAAGATACATAAATTAAGCCGCAACATATTCACGAAAATATCCTGCTAAGTTTTTTCTGCTTTGATTCAACTTTTTTTAAGGATCCATCATCCATAACCAGAGCCATGCCTGACTTTTGTCAAGTTACAAGCAGGAAAAAAAAATTGGCCCCAAAATTTTTATTTTTAAAAATTAATTTAAAAAACAAAAAGAAATAAAGAAAACAATTAAACAAGTGTCGTAAATAAAAAAAGAAAAAAAAAACAAAGAAAGAGAACCACAAACACCAAAGAAAAGGAAAAAAGCAAAAAAAAAACAAAATAGCTTGCTTAAAGCATCGATCTCCTAACCTAAAGGTATAACACAATGCTCTCAAACCATCTGATCTAACTAAGTCCTACAAAAATTAGCCCCTAAAATAATTATAATCTTAGACACGACTCTGTCTATAACAAAAAGAGGTAAGAGGGAAACAAATTATTTTTGCCAAATGAGAACATACTTAGAAAAACAGAATAGGACTCACACCAAAAAAGAAATAGAATGGAAACCACGAGTAAATGTAAAAGTGTAAAACATAGGTATTAATGTCCATATACACCTAAAATGCTTGCTTTATATTGTATAAAAAAAGAGAGAGATAGCTATTTTCTTTATTTTAGACCATATTTTGGTTATTCAACATATTAACCCATTTATCAAAGGCTGATTATGGCTCCAGAAAATGTATGACCTAAGTCAGGAACTTTCAGATTAAAACAAAACTTCAACTGAAAATATAACTTTTAAAACAATGTAAAGTATAAAAACAATCACATATACACGCAAACACAAAAATTAACAAGTGAAAGTGAGAAGATTACTGTTCTTTATTCAATGTTAAATGCAAGGCTATGTCAACGGCATTACTACATATACATCAGTATATATCACTAAATTATATAACATCATTTTTCTTCTGTTTATATGATACCATTCCTAGCCCCCTCTTCAGTATAACTATGCTTATAAATTATAAATTATAGCTTAAAGCATTAAAAAGAAATTAGATATCCATATATAGTCTATAAAATATTAGCAATTCTTATTAGTATCTATACATGTATATATATATATATAAAAAATAAGTAAAAAGACCATGAAAATAATCAGTAACAAATTACAAGATATACATTAGACCATATATATATATATATTTTCTATACATGCATGTATATAAAAATATTTCAAATGACCATATGAAAAGTATTTAACAATACGTTATTAGATAGAAATTAGACCAAGTAAATATCAATTATTAAAAAAAAAAATAGTTACCCTAAATACTTATCATTCTAAACATCTCATATGTAATGGAGCATAACACGTTTTCGGATTTAGAAGATGATAAATTTGTTAATAAAAGTTAGCTTAGGGTGAGGACCAGTGGACCAGTGCGTCCATTGTAGAGTTTGTCGCAAAAGAACCTCACACATTTTGCATCACCACGCTTTTCCTTCACACATTTTCTTTATATATATATAATTTATTTATTTTGCTCAACTTGGAGGTATATTTTTTTGGTCCATGGGGATTTTTTTCATTAAATATTTTCCCACCTCCTTTTTATAGCCATCGAAAGATGTTAAGAATTAATTTGGTCCCCATTAGGAAGCAATGCTTTATGAAATTTCGTAGTACGTTTGATAAGAAAAATGCTATGATGATGTTGTGTGCGGTGTGTATATTCATTTATAGACATTTTTGTCAACATCTATTGTGTTTATATCATGGGACACCACTAGCGGAAAATAGCTTTTATATGATATATGAAAGTAACCGGCCCAGTTTCATTTTGGTTGATCCAAGAAAATAACTAAAACATCAATAACTAATGATATATATTAATATTTGAAATGAATGTGTGCGGTCAGTTCGTGTGTGCGTATGGGTCTGTCTTTATTATCATAGGAGCCAAATATAGTCCATTAAATGGAATGCCTGACTCTATCTCTATCTCTACTTTGTAAGATCTTTAAATTTTCTTGATGAAGATGATGTTAAAAAAAATGGAATGCCTGACAAATTGTTCAATCGATTAGACTATCACAATTCACAGGATTGTTGCTTGAGTTTAGCAGATCAAATATCAATAAATCTACGTTTTGTGAATATGCCGTATACATATGTATCAAAAATAATAGTTTTAATTGGTCAAAAAAAAAATAGTTTCAGTTCTAAAAATATTATGCCTTGTAAGAAATTGTTTAGCTTTCTTAAACAAAACAAAAAATCAACACCGAGCAAATAATAACTGCTGAGCAAAATCACTAATCCAATTGAAAAAACTTCATCATTTTTAAAAAGTATAGATATAATATACATAAATTTGTTAAAATTCTACACCAAAAATAATATAATATTAACATATAAGAAGGCCTACAAATTTATTGTCAGTTAGTTTTGGCTTTGAAATTTATATACTTAACAGTAGATCGAGATAAACACATGAACACACACTAGTCCCAACCTAACTGAAATCGATTTGACCGACATTTGATCGGGCCATGATGAGGTTTTGTTAAGATAATTGGTTAAAAAAGCATCTTAAGATGAAATTTTAAGAATCTCACCTCAAAATAAAATGGGACATAGAATAGTACAATAAGATATAAGTAAATCTATTTGTTTTCAATTAATTTTGAGAAATTTAGGCTTAGCATTCTTCCAACATACTCCCTCTGTTTCATTATAGTTGATTTTTCTAGGTTTTTTTTCTTGTTTCATAATATTTGATTTCCTAGATCAAATTAATGCATGTTTATTCTTTAGATTGAATGAATAATATTAATGCATGTTACTTTACTCCATTAATACACAATTAGAAAAGAAAAAGTAATAATAAAAATAATGAAATCAGTTGTAAAAGTAACTTAATTAAGAAAAATAAACAATAAATAATTGAGCATTTATAGCTTTCTTAATTTATGTGTAAATATTCAGAAAATCAACTATAATGAAATAGAGGGAGTATTAGTTTTCATTTGGTTGGTCAATTCAATGCTATAAAAATGATCTAGGCAGTGTATAGGATCTGTGCCTTCATGAACCGTGACAATTACACTTTACATATTAGTATTAAGCATTATTGTTATTAAACAGAGCTAGTAAGTTTGAGGTGGTCCTAAACAGCTAAACGACGACATTCAAATTGTTAATCTAGTAACATTTTTTGCACTTTTTGAATTTTTAGCTATATAACTAAATTCTAGAAATTTGTGGTTTTAGAAATTTGTGTGTTCTTTTGGATATAAAAAAAGAATTTTGTGTGTTCTTTGTTTAAATGAATGTTTTTGTTTTATTTCTGATATTTTTTTAATGTTTTAGTTTTGATATTTATAATGTTTTCTGATTTTTTGTGTACTTTGGACTTCACATCTAATTTTATGAATTAGAATATTTAAATTTAATATTTATGAGTCATAGTCTTATAAACTGTCTAAAAAGTTATGTTAGGCCTCGATTAAACATTTTTTAGACGTTAGGTCATCGTCGTGTTAGTGTCTAGCACGTCTAACTCATATTGGGTCAGATGTATCATGTCTCTTATAATGAGATTTTGAGTTGTTTTTGGCATTTAAATAAAGAAAAAAAAGATTAGTTTATAATTTCTCAAACATTTAAATAAAAAAGTGTAAAAGAGTCTGAAATACACGCGCCGTTGTTTCTCGGGAAAGCGAATGGTATTGATAGTTACTGGGCCAGGCCCAGTTTGGGTGGGCGGCAGATCCGACTATCTGACAAGAAAAAAGAAATAAAAGTTTCCACCACCTGACAATTTCTTATTCTCTGATTCTGCAAATCTAATTGGGATTTGGATTTAAGAAGCAAACGAAATGGAAACATGGACTATGCTAAAGTGACAGCGACAGTCATTTTAAAAAGTCTTGTTTCATTGGAACGAAATCGAATCTTTAAATGATAAAAGATTACAATACAAGTGAGAACTGGGATTATTCCCCAGTAGCAAACAACAACAACAACAACAAAAGAAGAAACTTTGAAGCCAAAAATAACAGACCATTTTCAGGAACACGTGTTTATTCAAAATCCAAATATCAGACAATTCTTGTTTTTTTCTTGGTTTTCTCTGCAACAAAATCTGAAATTGCAGAGCAAAATTGGCAGGAATGTTCTTGAGAAGTGCCTTTTATTTTATCTCCTCAGGGAGTGAAGAATGTACTCGGCGTAAAGGTCCCTGTGATGATGATTCAAAATCAAGAAAATTGTTAGAAGATGAGGTAAATAAAAATGTTATATATAGTAAGGAATTTTGAAAGGAAAAAAATTTAGAATAGGAAACTTTACATTGAGTACTGAATGGCTTCAACAGCAGGACCATTTGGTAGAAAATCATTTACAGCAACTTCCTTGTTCTCATTCTTCTTGTCTGTTAAAATTTTGGTTAAAGGCAGCAGAAGCAGTGGTTTACTTGTTTCCTAAAGAATAATAATTACGACTTTAGAATTTAAAAAAGTTTTAAGGATACAATCTTCAAAGAATCGGCGGATTTCAGAGAGACGATGAGGTGGAAGTTCTTTGATGTCAGTGTAATGCTTATACTCAGGATCATCAACACAAACCGCAATGATCTTATCATCTTTTTCTCCCTTTTGTTAGAGTTTCAAAAAAGAAAAAATAAGAATTAGTCAAAAAGTCAAGTCCAAAGGAGATACAAACAGAGATTTGGATGTTACTTGGTCAATCATGGGCATTAAACCAATAGCTCGGGCTCGCAGAAAACAACCCGGAAGCACAGGCTCCTGTATTAGAAATAACTTCATTAAGAATATCAAATTTTGGTTTTCTTGTTTTTCTTTTATGGTGAAGATTAGAGAAGACTTAAACCTGCATGATAACTAAAACATCCAAAGGGTCATTGTCTTCGCATAATGTGCGGGGGATAAAACCGTAGTTATGAGGATACACAACCGATGAATACAGAATCCGATCAACCTGAGAAGCAAATCAAATTTTCAGAGACTGATATCACCAAAATAGCATCACATATATATATATTTAAATTCGGTTTAATTTTACCTTGATGAGTCCTGTCTTTTTGTCAAGTTCATATTTGACCTTGCTACCCTTTGAGATCTCAATAACCTGATTTTATCCAAAAATTCAAATGATTTCAGATTCTCTTTTTGTGATCTTCTCGTTTGCAAAAACCCATATCACATCATCAAGCATGAGACTTACCACATTGAAAATCACTGGAGCTCCAGGTCCTGCATTTTCAAATGAACAATTTAGTTAAAAGACTCAAAACACACAATATCTTGATAATATATTTTGTTGATCTAGTGATTAGTAAATTACCGATTTCAAGATCATGCCATGGATGTGCAGCAACCGATCTCCTAGATAAAGATGAGAGGATCCTCTCGTTCAAACGTGGAGTTGGTCGCTGAAGCTTTTCAGATTGATTCTCTTTCTCAGACTGATTCTTTTTCACTTCTTCACTCATCTAAGAACAGAGCAATTAAGCCAAACGAACCAAAATTTAGAATCTTTCACTCAATTTCTTGACTTTACGTCTAGATCGGCATATAATCAGATTCACAAATCAAAGATTTAACATATAAACCAGACTCTACTACGATTTATCAAGAAAAACCTTATCGCAGATCGTAATCCATCAATCATCTTAACAACCTAAGCGAATGATCTCAGCTAATGAAAACATTAAAAAAATCCAACTCCATAAAATGAAAACATCATCCGAAGATTTCAGCTAAACAGTAACGATTTAAAGGTTTTTAACACTAACACAATCTGTGTCGAATTTGTTCATTTCTCGATTGATTCTTGGTTTAGAAGCAAAATCCAGAGCATCAAACATCAAAACTCATCAAAAATTTGAGATCTAAAAACCAAAGAAAGAAAGTCGTACCTTGGAATCGTTTCAAGAACACAGAAACAAGTTCACGGAAAGTATGGAGAAAGAAAGTTGACGAGGAAAAGAAAACAATAAAGCGCGTGATCTTCAATTGCGTTCCACATAACCTTATTTATAGAAAGCGAGAAAAACGGTTAAAGCTTTAATAAATTATCATAATTATGTTATTAGTTCATTAATCCATATTTAATAATCACCGTTCAATCCTCCCAATCCTGGGGTCCACCGTAAATCACTAACTCTCAGTCTCTTGAACGATTCTCCAACACACACTCGGCTCTCCCTCTTTAACTATATAAACTTGGTTACGATCGCAAAAACAAAACCAAGAAAACCAAAAAATTTGTAAAAAATGGCTATCAACAGAATCGCGATTGGAACTCCAGGAGAAGCTAGCGGTCCAGACGCAATCAGAGCGGCTTTTGCAGAGTTTTTCTCCATGGTTATATTCGTTTTTGCGGGTCAAGGATCCGGAATGGCTTACGGAAAACTAACCGGAGACGGACCGGCCACACCTTCCGGTCTAGTGGCTGCGTCTTTGTCTCACGCGTTTGCCTTGTTCGTGGCGGTTTCTGTTGGAGCAAACGTTTCAGGCGGCCACGTGAACCCTGCGGTCACGTTCGGAGCGTTTATTGGTGGAAATATTACGTTGATGAGAGCTATTCTTTATTGGATCGCCCAATTACTCGGAGCAGTTGTAGCTTGCTTGTTGCTCAAGGTAAGTACCGGCGGGATGGAAACGGCAGCGTTTTCGCTTTCCTATGGAGTCACGCCGTGGAACGCAGTCGTTTTCGAGATTGTGATGACGTTTGGGTTGGTTTACACGGTTTACGCTACTGCCGTAGATCCCAAGAAAGGTGATATTGGAATCATTGCTCCTTTAGCGATTGGGTTAATCGTTGGAGCTAATATTCTCGTAGGTGGTGCGTTTGACGGTGCGTCCATGAACCCGGCGGTTTCATTTGGACCGGCCGTGGTTAGCTGGACTTGGACGAATCATTGGGTCTATTGGGTTGGTCCATTTATTGGTGCAGCCATTGCCGCTATTGTTTATGACACTATCTTTATTGATAGTCATGGGCATGAACCACTTCCTTCTGCTGATTTCTAAGTTAGGGTTTTTTTCTTATTTCTTGTGAAACAAGATAGCTGTTTTATGTGCCCTACTAATTAAGGGTATTTCGAAAGACATTGATGTCATTATTCCCTCTCGTGTTCTTTTTTTTGTTAACTAATGTTTTTTTAGTCATGTGGCTAAGAAGTTACTTTTACTACTGTTGTGTTTTTTTTAAGTAATTTATAAATCAAATCTTGGAATTTTCCACCTACTAGTTTTATTTAGATTATATTAAGATAATGTGCGGCGTTACGTAGTATGTCACACGTAAGAAATCATGTACAGCGAAGTTTATTGGAGGGCATATTCTTGAGATTATGCTCCCATGGTGAAAACATATAAATATTATGTGACCCGCCATTATAATACTATGAGAATAGATTTCGGTTGGTTAGTCCATGCACGATCTATTTGAATCTTCTTAGTCAATGATATTTGGATTTACGAATTGTTAACACACACAAAAATTAAGATTAGAATTAGATGTGTCTGAAGATCCTTTAACATACAAAAAAAAAGACGTGTCGATTTTTATGAAATAGAATGTTTGTTGAGAATGTTGCTTCACATGCACTATCATATCTAAATCAATATTTTACGTTTTGAGAAAATACATATACTGTATATCATTTATATAAAAAAAAATATAGATCTAAAAATGTTATGCCTTAAGAGAAATTTTTTTTTTGTGAAACAAGGTTTATGAAATAGATTATTGTATTGGTTTATGAAAATAGATTATTGTATTTGTATGAACGGTATCGCCGTATCGGTGTCCCGGGTTTTCCTCTAAAACGCGTTTGGCAGTTGCTTGCACGTTCAAGCAAAATCACGGTGACGAGATTTGATGCATAATACATCAATAATTATTATGAATATTATACCATTCATCGTGATGTAGAAACGATGTACCAATAGTCGTACGTAGGATACCATGTTCTTAATCTTACATCGTTGTTTCATATGGGAAAACTCAATATTATGTTATATGTATGATAAATTATGAAATCAGTAGTCCGATCTACAACAGAAAAAAAGGCATTTAAACTGTTGTATAATATATGATATTTGCACAAATCATTGATTTAGTAGAGTACTATTATTAGAGCGATGAGTTAACAATCTACACTAAATCTGTTACTACTATTATCACGAAATTTAATTTTCTTCTAAAATTCAGTTAGTTATTATCATCGTACTGAAACTAAATTAATCTTCAACATGCTATTTTAAGAAAACGTGGGTTGATCAGTTCTGAATTTTGTAAAAAAGGATGAAAAAACTCTAAATATTGTCCAAAATTCATGCATGCATGGTATAATCATGGAATACAAAATACTTGTTCAGAAAAAAAAACATATTACAAGGTTTAAGCTTGAAAATTTGGCAAAAAAACAAAAAAAAAATATTTTCGACCAAAAAGAATATCGATTGTAACAGTAATGGGCTGTAAAGGCCCAAACAAAACTTTGCTTTCGCGAATATGACTCTGTGGGCCTACAAAAGAAAAGGAATCTTTACTCGAATAAACAATAGTATACCACGCGTGACATTAAAGCGTAATAACACGCGCCACTCGATCTAATCTCACGTGTGGTTCATATATCTGACATGGCACGTGCCAACGTGGGACTTTCGACTCTTCTAATCTGGATTTAACTGGATCTATGTCTGAGCTTAACAAGGCTTGAATCCTTGAAAAAGATTATTTGTAATGACTTTTTCTCTTTAACAAAAAAAAATTACTCTCTTTATTCTATAATTAAAGATGTTTAAAAAGTTTTTTCTTTATTTATAAGATGTTTTACAATTTTTGTTTTCACAATGTTTTACAAAATTATATGTAGATTTTAATATTATTTGATATTTTGACTCCTTTATTTTTTTTGTTTTCTTTTAGTTGGTTGAGTCTGTTTTTAAGTAATTATTAAGATAAATTTTTTCTTAGAAAATAGATTCTTAATCTCCATACTTTTATTTTAAATTTCTTACATTTTGGAACATAATAAGTATATAATTTTACTTAGACGAAAAAAGGTTTATATTAAAATTTACCAATGGTTTGACTTTGACCAGAACTTTTAGAAAAGATCAGATTTGTTGCCAGTAGATGATTTCTACGTCTGATCATGTCGTTCACTTACACATAATATTTAAATAGTGTACCATTGTTATCTGTATAATACAGTTAAACTTCTACAAAATAATAAGATTAAAATTATAATATTTTATTAATTTATAGAGTTATTAATTTTTTGATATAAAAATTAGTTCAAAAAACTAATTTGAAACTTAAAAAATATATTAATTTAAAATATTAATTTATAGAGGTTATACTGTACTTGTTATTACTATTATTTAAGAAGTTAATTAGTATGTATTCTAGTTAATTTTGGTATCTGAATTTAGTTTTCCTGTTTTTATAACTTAAAAAAAAACGTAAAAGAAGGTAAAAAGTAAAAACTTAGCTGAACACAGATAATATGAATAAAAAACTGAAAAAGTAATACATGTAGGCTGAAAGTTTACGTTTTTAGAAGTGAAACGGATGTGTCAAGGAGACTCTGACCATAGACTTTCTTTTACGATGCTTTTAAAACATTGGAATATTAAATTTCTCTGTTACCTTTCTCATCGTTTTCTGAGTATATATAAAAGTGAAACTGTATGTTAAAAAAAAAGTTCAAATGATCATAAACAACTAAGTTTTAGTCTAGATAATAGACGTTGATGAGAAAAAATATATATAAATATATATTTATAATTTGTTTAAAATTATATATTTGTTTAAAATTTATAATATATCGTAGTCGTAGTTGTCCTTTTAATGGAGCGTATAATTGTCAGACGCATGGACGATATATAATAAGTACTGTATATACTGAAATAAAATCTTAATAAGAGGATGCGAAGTGTGAAGACGACTTTTTCTCTGTTCAGCTTTAATTATATTTGTTTCCATTTCCGTAACCATTCTAATACGGACGATGGAAGTCAATTTGTCAACATTTACTACATGAGAAGTAAAAAATTACAAGCAGCAACAAAGACGATATCAAGTAGTGGCCAGAATTTAGTAATTGTAGAACCCGGCCTGTGATAGTGTGATTAATCTAAAAAGTTAAAAGCCCTCAAACTGATTGAATTCCCCCCAAAAAAATTAAAATCACAAATTATTTATTTTACTTTCCTTTATGTAACCTAAAGTTACACACATCACTAGAAAAAAATAGTCAAAAGTCAACTAAGTTCGACTAAGATTTGACCACATAATCTCGCCGTTGATTTGCTCGAAGATCTGATGAACGGCTGTTGCTATCTCATCAGCTGATCCTCCTATCTTACACTCATCTTCTATCTGCATGCACCAAAAGACCATTCAATTATCATCTCTAAAAATTACTAACAATTACTTTTTCAAAAACCTTATCAAAAATTTGTAGGATATTTTGTTATGGTATATCATGCAGGTTCCCTGATCCTCCTCTAAAAGGCAACTGAACAAGTCTTTAAATAGGCTAAAGTATAATACCAATAATGCGAAATTTGCAAATTAGAATAAGGATATATAATTGAAGAGATAATAATAATAACGTAAAGATTTTAACAACATACCTTGAGATTGAAAGAGTAGAAGACGTAGTCAAAGGAAGAAGAGATAGTGAGATGCAAAATCGAGAGCTTAAGGTCTTCAATGGAGACAATAGCTCTCAAGATCTGTCCTTTTCTTCTCTTACACCGAACCTTCAAGCTCACATGATTCTGTATCACCGTAGCTTCCACTTCCGCGGTCTCTCCGCCGCCGAATCTTGCCGTAAATCCATCTTCCGACGTCGTCGAGACGCTCGAAACAGAAGAGTTAGTGCATGCACGAGACGATGAGGAAGAAGACGATGCCGTTTTCGGGTTTTCACTAGCTCCCTCGTTCTGTTTCTCGGCCTCTAGAGTTTGCGAAAGCTGCTCGAGCTCCTTGATGAAATCTATAGCGCCTCCTACGATCGAAGCTTGGTCACCCTACAAAACGGCAGCGTTTAGGTTTAAGGTCAAAGTCCAAATTAGCTAGGGAGAAACCAAAGACTAATCCCAAAACCTTGTGAAAAAAAAAAATCAAACATTTACGGCTTCACGCACCAATTAGCTCCTTAAACACCATTGAATTAGTTAAAGATTGAAACTTTTTAAAATCCCCAATAGAAAATATCTATGAATGTAACGAAAGGCCTGATTTTTGTTACCCGTTGAAGAAACGAAGGAGGCATGAGAGAACGGAGAGAGTTTAAGTGTTCGTTCATTTGTCGTCTCCGGTTACGTTCGACCGCAATGTGAGTCATCCTTTGGTTCTCAACTTCGTCTTTGTTCTTCGGAGCTCTTGTCCGTTTTCGTTTCCGTTTTTCTTTTACCGTTGCTGCTCCGTTTTCTGTTTTCGGATCCTTAACCGGGTCATCTGTTTGACCCGGATCTCTTTTGATGGTTTCGTGGGTGAGGCAACTCTCTGGTTCTAGGGTTTGGATCTGGAGAAGTGATTGGAGAATCTGATTTGGTTCTGTAGTACTAAAAGCAATTGGTTCTATGCATTGAAGCATTTGCAGAAATGGGATCTTCTCGTCAATTTCGGTTTCTGAGATCTGAGCAAATTGATCTTCTAATCCTCCAAAACTCATTACTCGCTCCATAATTAGCTTCAATAAAGAAAGGCAAAAAAGATTAGTTTTGGGACTTTTGAATCTTTCAATCAAAACGGAGAAAGATTGAAACTTTAGGATACCCTTTTGAAAAGACTGAAGCTTTTTAGGTGGATTTTTGAAGTTTTTAATAGGTTGGGTTGGGTTGGTTTGGTGGGTGAATTCTTTAAGAAAGAACAAAGAGGAGGTACGAGGAGAGAACAATAATTTATGAGAAATAAGGAATGTCAACGAGAGAGGAAATAAGAAAGTTGCAGGAAATTTGGATAAGTTTTGTTTCAAATGAATTTAAAGCATTTTGCATTGAATGTGTTAATCATATGATAGGAGGAGGAGAAAGAAGAAGAGTAAATGCACAAAACAGATTCTACGAGAATTAATTGTAATTGAAAATCAGAATAAATTACGAGAGAGGCTTACATGAGAATCAATTCAAGCTCTAATGGAACTTCTTCCAAAGTAATACTTTTCAAATTTGGGTTTATATAGGCGCCTTTCCCTCAATTTAACAATCTCTTCTTCTCCTTCTCTGTATTCTCTCAACCAAAAACATTCCTTTGGGGCTAACACTTCCTAAAGGGTTCTTGATAAATGCAGCTTCCACATATATAAAAGGAGAGAGAAGAGAACAAAGGAGAGGAGAAGAAGAAGAGGTTCGGTGCATATTTTAAAAACGAAATTATAACCATCCAATTCTATATAGTCGTATATTTTACAATATCTATGTGTATACACATACATATATGATTCAAATTATGTTATATATAAGCTATATAAATATAGGGTGATGCTGGGGGGAAATATACGTGTCCTGTCCTCTAGATCAGAGAGTCTTGTCTTATTGGATATTCAATTATTCTTTGAATGGTGACAAGATTATTACTTTTGTTACGCGGTTAATGTGAAACGTATATTACGTCGCCCTTCAAAATTTATGCTGTCTTCAAAACAAAACTCATTTTACGTTTGATGTTTCACAGGCAAAACACGATTACAAGAAGAGTTTGATATTTTGCTACCGTTAAAAACAAAAATCATTCAGTCAAAAACACAAGGAGTTTATGGATAAGAACAATATCATTCAAACTACTCGTATTCTGAGTTTGATATATTGGTTTCATTCGTGTCAAGAACCAACCGTATATATTTCGTTTCTCAGACTGTATATATTTCAATGTGAATATATGAGTTTATTTGATCGATCAATATAATATATAAATATTCGTATAACTAACATATATACACTATATATAATATACATACATCAATCATGAATCACCTAATGTTCTAAATATAATGGATCCACTCGTGTTAGATACTAACCGTATTTAATTCATTTTCTTATCATATGTTTGGCTCTAACTATAAAGAAGTGGCTAGATCCACATAGCTTGTATACCATATATATAACTTTAGACACAATGAGATGGTGCGTTGGGACTAGGACGATAGAGAGAGGGGTCCCGTAAAGTATTATTGAATATGGCAGTGAAGACAGTTTTGTTTGGTAGGGACACATTTTCCATGAACAGTACTTCTCACTCTTATTAAGACAGTTTCAGAATCAGAAAAGAAGACCAAACCTCTCTTTCTTCTTCTTCTCTTCTTCTTTTTTCTTCACAAAAGGGTTTTCATGTCTTTTACTTCAACTAGTTTTTTTTTTTTTTCTTTTAACAAGAACCTTATGGGTTTGTATATAAGTATTTCCTAATTTGGCCTGTCGACGTAGTTTTTTCAAAACTGAAAATGACAAAAATACCCTTTGTAGAAAAGGACGAATAATGCACATGGCCAAGGCCATGGGTGCCAAACGTTGAGTGTCCTAATAAGACCAACTCGATTTCAGTGCCTTGGTCTCTAGGGCAAACAACAGTTCTCTCCTCCAAAAAGAAATTTGCCTTTTCTTTTTGTTTTGTTTCCTTCTCCCAAACAATGAAGATTTTTAATACTTCCTTAGATCCTTTTCACTGAGCCTGGACTTTATACCATGAGCGAGTCCAAAATTCGCATGCAAGCTACCATAATGTCTAAAGATGTATATGAATATATTAAAATTTTAAAATAGGCCAAGAAGATTCGAATCAAACTATCAAAGAACTAAGTCAAATCAACACAACCATCGACATCATAGACATGCTTGACTAACTCTAAGATGAATTACCTCAACAAGAAAGCAGCTCATCAACAACATAATTTTGGGTAAAAAATCCAATCTAGCATACGAAAACATTTCATGGTTTAGTTTTCAATGGAAATTGGACATAATTTTGGGAAAAATCCAATCTGGCATACGAAAACATGTCATAGTTTAGTATTTAATGGAAATTGAATTCAGAAGGCTCCATACTCTTTTTCAATATCAGTTTGTCATTAAACCACAATAATCCTGAAAAATATAACTTTACCAGTATATAGCTTCTAACTAATATATAATATATATACACCGTTCATTTATAACGGATCACATGGGATTGGAACATGAAAACATACTTATGGGTTTGCCCACTTGTGTTGAGATCAATTCCATGTATTGTCTCTCAATTCTCTTTAGTCGAATTGGAGTTTTTTGGAAAGGCGTAGAGTAGACTAGCTAGGTTTCTAAATTTGTCTATAGAATCTCACGTCCATTATGCAATCGGCCACAAATAGAAACCCACTATTCGTCCATAGTTCATACAGTAGTGTAATAAACTTATCATTCGGTACCTCTTTTTTTTAACTAATAAAACTTCGTCATAATTTTTTTTGATAATTACTAATTCTCTTAAGAACTTACCTCATCTTTTATCTGAAACTAAATCTATGCTACTACGCAGACGATTAATTCCACTGCAATTTTATTGTAATATCTCCCACACAGAGACAAACTGAAACCCGACGTACGTATTCTTCGAAATGAGTACCTAACTACTTCGTATAAATCGAAATATACATATTTATCCGCACACATGAATTAATCATCACCTAATAATACAAATATATACACATAAATATGTCGACGGAAACAGAGGGATCGTTCGTATAAAGACAAGAAAAGGATAAAATTGATTGTATAAAAAAAATCTTATCCATTCCAACACAAAATCCAATGAAAATCACGGCTCGAAAATTATTAAAATTTCATATATGAAATTGACGAATCTTATCCCTTTCTTCGTATGATAGACCTTCGTAGCCTCATGAAAGTGTTAGTACTAAGGCCTAAGAGAAATAGACTCGCAGCCACAAAGCCACTATCTTTGTTTATTCAGGTCTTGATTTAAAAATTATGACTGAAAATATTGGATTCATTAGCAATTACCTAGTGGATATGGTGACATAGATATGTGGTATACAATTCTGGTGTTGTGGTTTTGTTAATATATGTGTATAACATTTGTATATATTTAAATGAATTTTACTATGGAAAAATTTCAACTATGGTTTTTTTCTTTGATAAAGACGTTAAACTAGAAGAATAGTTAACTATTGGGTTATAAATACCTATAGGAGGAATAAGCTCCAGACTCAAAGTTCTTTGTAGTTATACTAATAGGAACTGGGTTGCTTCCTTTTGATGGACCAAAAATTTCGGTTCCGGCCCATATTATATTAATAAGCATCAATATTGCTGAATGGTTGTTCTAATTTAAACCCATACGTGACTCAGTTCTCACAAACTTGACACATAAGCATTTCTTATTTTGACACATCATCTCTTCAAAATTATTTTTTTTTTTAAAAATGAAACAATATCGAGCTTTTCTCTTTGTCAATTTTTTTTCATTTTTCTCTCCTTTCTCACAAAAACAAAAACAATCCATTTTTTCTTTTTCTTTACCAGTTTTTTCCATCTCCCAAATTCCTACATCTAAAACCCTACAGACCAGAAGACGTTTAGAAAGAGCTTAAAGAGCTGTGTCAACCAAAACGAATATCGCCTTTCTCCCGCAGCTGTTCTCCGGTCACAATCTTTCTCTCGCAGCAGCGACGGCGGCGAATACGACTGGTCCCATTATGTTGAAGCTTTGGAGATGGTACCAGCGATGCCTGACGGTTCATCCATCGAAAACTCAGGTCATCAGCTCTGGCTTTCTTTGGAGATTTGGCGATGTCACCGCTCAATACATCACTCATTCCACTGTGAAAGCTCAAGCAAATTCAAATTCCTGTTTGCACTTCTCAATTTACAAATAGATATTCTTCTCTTGAATTCATGGAAATGTGGTTTCTTTATATTGTTGTTTGTTTGTTCTCTTCGTATCTCATTTTTTAGCCATGCTCATTGCACAATTTTCATTTTCTTTTGTTTTTTTTTTTTGCTTTGTAATTCAGTGAAAAATCATAATCTGAAATGAAAACATCAAGAGTTTGAGTATCTACGAACTTTGAGACATCAAGAGTTTGCTTATTCTGCATATGTCCACCTAAATGATTCTGATATTCAAAAATTATCTTGTATCTTTTATTCTCTTTACACGTATTATATTTTAAAATTTGTGTGCTTCTACCGATTGGCACTTCTGGTTTCCTCTGTACACACTTGCTTGTGCAGTTAATCTGATTAACTGCAAAAGAATATCTAAAACGAGAAGCATCAGATAGATGGTTGAAACAGCGCAACCTCCGGTCTGTTTTTGTTCGTTAAAGTGGTTGCAGAGGATATCATAAAAGAGAAATTTGGAATCTTATCTTTCAATTTCACACATAAAGTGATTAGAGAGAAGATCAGAAGTGCTTTGGGGATAGTTTCCATGGTTATGCAACTACGAACTACTTCTTCAAAACCAAAAGAGAAATACGTTGATTTTGGTGAGAGAATTAAACATTCAATCTTTATCATTTTTTGGGTGATACTTCATTTTGATATAATTTAGTTTTGCTTTTTTTTTTTGGTTTACGAATAAGAGTATGGATGATTTTTTTTTCATTTTATGGATGTATTTTCACGACTAATAACATTATCTTTTGTATGCTATGTCGTCAAACTTCCAAAAATCATTCCCTATCTAACATTCTTGGCCACATTCTCATTTTAAGTATGTTTTCATTTTTCTTTTTCATGTACATATATAAAATCGCCAATCAACTGATCATATAACTTAAGCTATAAAATATTAATCTTTTTTCTTAAAATATGGTCAGTAATAACCAGGACAAATTAGAAATTTAGTATTCCAAAGGAGGCCGTACAAACCAAGAACCTCTGGTCGATCTTTTGGCCGATACTGGTATCATTCTCTTTTACGATCTAATTGTCATTCATACAAAAGATTGCATTTGCTATTGCATACTATATTTCATGATTTTAAGCTATTTTTACTAATAATTGTATAAAACATTCCATGCTCAAATTTGGTTTAGGATTAATAATCCAAACCAAAACCCCCCTGACGTCTTCGGTTTGGTGCAATAACCAATCCACTATGCTTGCAATCATTGATCCATATAACAATTGTGTCACATCAACACTCCTCATCTTCTAAAACAAATCATATTCGTTGTTTACATAATTAATGTATCTTGCATCTTTTTCTGAACTTTCTCTATATTGAATACAATCTAATTTAACTAAGTCAAAATAAACAACTAAAGATCTAAAAATTCAAACTATTCATTTATCTAAAATGTATCCACGAAAACCGAAGAGGCAAAATTAATTTCAAACATTTAATATACATACAAGAAATCAAATATAAATACC